CGCGGGGCCGCTGGAAGCGGCGCTTCGGGGCCGCCAAGTGGCCGCGCGGAGCCGCCTGCGGGGCCGCCGCCGCTCGAGGGGCTTTGGGCAGCCCTGGCTGCGGCGCCCGGGGCCGCTGTCCCCGCCGGTGGCCCTGAGCGCGTAGGGGAGGCTGGGGTGCAGGAACAGGGCCCGTGTGTGAGGCACGTCCTGCCGGAGCTCCCCAGAGCGCCCGATAATTCCGAACAAAACTTGCGGCAGTCACCCGTGTGAGCCAGTCGAGCGTTGCTGCCTTCCCAAGCCCCTTAGAAGAGAAGGGGCTGATGTTCTCCGTGCTCAAACCGTGGGCCGGGAGCAGCCCGTGGAGGCTCCGAGCTTTGACAGGCGGCACCTCCGTGTGAGCCGCGGAGGCTCCCGCCGCTCCCTGCAAAGTTTGTGCCTGCAGAGCGGGAGCTGCCGATCCCGCCGGGAGCAGCTCCAACTGCGCGAGGCGGCGGCAAGCGTGTCCCCTGCAGCTGGGAGCCGCCGGCGGGGTGTCCTGCCCGGGTGCGGGAGCGGGGCCCCTTGGCTCTCGCGGAAGGGGGAGCGAGGGCAAGGGCTGCATCCAGGGAGCCCGAGTAACGGCGCTGTCATCTTGCACACAGCGCAGCCTGCGCTTTGTCCTTCAGCCTCTGGCAGGTTTGGGCTGGAGCTGGTCTCCGGACTCCCAGCAGTTTGCATTCTGATCCTCTAGTTTTCCACAAAATGCAGGATTGCCCAAGCAGGGAGTCGGCTGCTTGTTGGTTAGCCGGGCTGCGCCACAGCTTCGTACTTGGCCAGCACGCTGAGTTGGATTCACGTTTGCTAATAATCCCTTCAGTGAGTTCTGCGGGAGTGAAGCAGTCAGGGCCATGGCCTCGCTGCATGCTCGCACGCAAACTTCCTTGTCAGGGATTACAGAAAAATCATTGGCTCTCTTCACCTTTGATATAGTGGCGGTTTGATTATAAATGAAACGGGAATACACGTGCAATGATTTTAATACTAATAAGAAATAAATTGCTGCCTGTGTGAGGTTCTTCTGTTGTGAGTGTTGCTGAATGCTCTTAAGAGGCAATGGAAGTGTGGTGCTGTATTAAGAACAGAATAAATTTTACCTAATTTATGTCATGAACTGTGCTTAGAACGTGAAGTCTTTTAAATTTGTGTAGAAATGTTACCCTGCAAGACAGCAACTATGTTTAGATTTTTGATTGTGTTGGTTTTGACTTTTGCTTAGGTTTCTGGAATGTAAACTTGGTAAGATGCAGGGCCTCTGTTCAGAGCTCTGAGACTGCAAGGGAGCAGAATGACTCCTTTTAAATGGATGAGCAGTTTTGCACCTGTGTTTGGGGCTGCAGGATACAAGTGCTTTCACATGTCTTGTCATAGCACCCCTCTGTGGAAGCAGGTGGTATTATCGGGAACAGAGAAGTTGCAATCTTGGGTGGATTTTAATATTACTATTAGCTGCATCATACTATGGATATCTTGCTTTGAAAGCTTGGCCTTAGATGTGCCAGTTACTTCAAGTTCTTTTGGCTCATTCCTCAGTAGATATAACTGAGGGCTCTGTGGGACACTTCTGGCGCTTCCCAGGGGGAGACCCAAATGAGCAACCTGTGCCCAAATGGTTTGTTGGAAAGCTGGGTATCAGATGTGTGAGGAACGTGAAGGTACCCTGCATTTCCTTGGCTGCCTTTGACTCAGCGTGTTGCTCTTCCCTGTGTGTTGCAATCCCACCGGATGAGCCTATGCATGCGGAAAGAGTCGGGTGGCATCTTCTCATTAACGCTTTGTCCCTTTTCCTTATAGGAGAACCACGTCCATGAGAAGTTGGTATCTCTGAGCTTGCTTCAGAAAGACTTTGTGCCTTTTCTGCTGAATTTTTTAAGGGAGCAGACCAGCCAGATCCTGACTAATGGACCCTCTACTCCTGCTAAAACCCCTAATTCCAAAGCCCATGGAAACCAAAGGACAGGATCAGAAAAGAGGGCCGGTCACACCTCCGGATCAAGCAGCAGCCGGGTGCAGCTCTTTTCCGAAAGGACTTCGGTGACCCCCTGCACCACAGATACCAGCTTTTCCCCCGCTGCCGCCTCCAGCGGCTCCTCCTCTTTTTCAGGATCCAGCCTGTCCAGCCCTTGCAGCGACCTCCCTGGCGCGGCGTGTGGCGGCAGCCCAGGCTTTGGGCACAGCCCCGTGCTCGGCCAGGGCGAGAGGCGTTCGTCGCAGAGGAGCAGCCTGGGCAGCTTCCTCGCGGCCGCGCCAGAAGCGGCGCCGCCGCCGCGGCGAGGCAGGAGGAGAGGCGGCAGCTCCGTGGGCGCCGCTGGCCGCCACCTCGCTCGGGACCTGGGGCGCTCCCTGCCTGAGGAGGAGGATGGGAAAGGCGAGAGCCCGGCATCGTGGAGCGCGGGGAGAAGGAAGCGGAGTGAAGTGCCTCTTGTTCCCGCCGCATCCCCACCCAGCCAGCTCAATCTCAACAATTTGGAGGAGTTTCCGCCCATGGGTGCTGCCTCGGGCTGGACAAAGTAAGAGCAAGTCTGCCTCGCTCTTTTGTTCAGGTTGTGCTTCAGGATACTGTTCCTTGACTAGCTCTTCCTGTTGTGCATGACCAGGGGGAAGGTGCTGAAAAACAGCACCTGGGGGCAGCTTTCTAATTCTCCTTGGCTGGAGATGTTGTCATGGAAGGAAAACGTACATAGTTCACAGTATTCTGCTCATGCAGATTTCTCTTAAGCCTTTTACTTGTCATGCTGCCTGTAGCTCCCCAGGTCACACAGCAGCTGATGGGAAGCCGAGCACAGTTTTGTCCTTGCCTGTTCTAACAAGTCGGCCTTATCTTGACTCTTCACATTTGTCATTCAGCACAATAGGAATTGCTAATGAAGAGCAGCCCTGAAAGGCTATTAAGCTTTACTGGTGCTGCACTAAAAAGGTTTTGGATTGACATTCTCTGACATCTGGTAATGGATGTTAGTGTTCAGCTTTGTTTGCATAATGTGGTTCTGGACAGTGTGTCTAGCTAATGCCTGTATTCTCTGTGGTGCAAAGTGTGCCCAGGTTTCTTAGGTGGCTTTACCTTAGCTCTGGGCAGGTCTCTGCTTTGTGGTTGTCTCTCCTTTTTCTTGGGACTTCACTCTCCAAAATACCTGTCCTGTGCTTTAGGAACTGATGAGTGCTGCTTTTTCACTCTCTGTAGTTCTGTGGGTGCTGCCTTTTAATTCGGTGATTAGGTTAAAGCCAGCAGCTACAGGCACAGCTTAATACTGCCATGATTCCTTATTTCCTCTGCATTTTACTTTAGCATTAGGCTCTTCAGGAAAATTGCATGCATATGTGTCTTGTAACCCATGCTCTTGAATCTTATTCTCTTATTTCACTGTGTTTTGTTCTTTTCCAGCAAGAGCAAGCCATCAAGGCGAATCAACCCAACTCCTGTAAGTGCCGAGCGACCCCTCTCAAAACCAAAGATGTGCTTCACTTCTACGCCCGTCAGCCAGGCTCCAGCTGCTCGATTTCCATCTGGGACAAGCCTGGAAGCCTTTACTGCCATCCAGGAAGGAAACATTGCTTCTGTGGTAGGGAGCAGCCTTCAAGAGGAGAGGGAGATGCTAAAGAAAGAAAGGTACCATCTGAGAGGGTGGTGATAGACTCAATGCTATTTCTGTTGTTCTAAGATGGCTCTGGTGTGAAAGGGGAAGGACCAGAAAATTTTCCAAAATGGCTATAGGTATCTTTAAACTATAACCAGCCTAAAACCAAGTATCTGTTATCAAACTTGAGTACTAGTGCAATTAGCTTACCCTTCTCATTTTAAAGATATACTGACTTTGCAACAGTGACTGTTACTTTTTCATCACATCAGTCCTCACTGCTTTTGTAAGATAGACTTTTCTTGGTCTAGTCCTAAGACTTTAGACTCTCCAGCTTTCCTAAGACTTACCCAGGTGAAGTAAGTGGGTTTGTGCTATTAGCCTGTTTTTGAAGATTTCACCTTCTGAAAGTGAGAGAGGGCATAGATTGCTTTAAGAAAAATAAAGGATGCAAATATGGGGAAAATGTTAATAGTAGGTTAACCAGTAAGATAGACAGTCTAAACACAAACTTTCTCTCAGAAAACGGGAAAGAAGGAACCTGAATTTCTGTTTTTAAAGTTACTACTGTGACTTTAGTGCCAGGAAATTCTAGGTGAATTCTAGCTTCTTATTTTGTCTCTGCCACTCGGTTACTGTGCTACTTTCATCCTTTGTAAGTTGTTATCATTGTTAATTTTCACAGGCAAACAAGCAAAGTGCAGTAATAGAGAAACTGATATTTAAAACTGTTGACAGAACTGTCAGTGTCCCTCTTGACTTCTTCTTGGGGAAATTCCTCAGGACATGTGAGAACTGAGCTAGTAAGGGAGAAATCCCTTGTTGCTACAGTCACCCTGAGACTAGAGCTGCCAGCAGTAGATTTCTGCTAAGGCTTTTGTCACCAAGCTTGCCATTATTGATCAGTTCAGCTGAAACAACTGTCTTGTGATAGTCCTTAAAATAAGAGACCTTTCTTGAGCAATTAGTTTTTTAATGTTCTTATGCGATTGGACTGCGTGGCCTTATTCAAGTCAGTTCTAGGAAGAGTCAGGTGTTCGTTCAAGGGTGAAATTCTTTTCCTGCTCAACTTTTCAGTCTACTTCAGTGGGACTAGAATTGGGTCCATAATGTTGAAACAGACCCTCTAGGTTCTCATGAGCTGCTGTTTGCACTTTCTTACATTTGGGGGCTGTAGCAGAACTTAACTTTGTGCACTCGAGTGAAGCACATATCCCTGTCTGAATTATATCCGAAACGTTCCACTGATTCGTATAAACTGAAGTGGACCAAACGGCGTGTGTAGACCTCATCAGGCCTATCATAATTGTGCTTGGATCTGGAAGCTGCTGTTGTGTTCGACAGTGGTGGGAGTGCGGGGTGCAAAACCACAGATTAGCCACCAGCTAATCTGTGTCACAATTCATATCGAGTGAAACTTCTACGCTAAGACAGAAGCAAACAGCAGACAACTACTTTGTCAGAATCTGCCCTTAGTGGTCAGGTTCCTAGTGGTTTAGGAAGTGTTTAATTTTGTTCAGTTATGTCAGTAAGGTACTTATGTTCAAGGTGAGGTAGATGAAAGTTTTAGCAAATAACCTTTCTACTCACATGTTGAGCCTCTCTCTCTCTCTCTCTCTCTCTCTCTCTCTCTCTCTCTCCCCCCCCCCCCATTGTAGCAGTTCCAAATTAAGCAAATGAAGAAAGTTTTCCTTAGTTCAAAGAACAAAAAAATCTTTCCAGTCTTGTCCACAGCTTTTAAAGTGACTTTTTAAGGATTTTGCTTTTGAAGGATTGTGGCAAGAGGTAGATGCAGTGTTTGAAGCATGGCCACGCACGCAGATGGTACTGTTCAGGACTTTAATGATTCTTTAATACTGCTCTGACTGGCTTCCATCCTGCTTCTCACTTGTCTTATGTATGCCACTCTGCTGTTGCATTTTGGATGGCCTCTGTTTTCAGCAATACCTATGTTTTTAACTGAGTGACTATTGTTGATTTAGAATCTAGCAATTCAGTAAAATTAGTTTGTTCTTGTTGCTCATTTGGAGTCCTTCAGCCTGATGCCTTGCCTCTCCACTTAGCAGTATTGTATCTTCTGCAGGCATTTTTAATGTAAATATATCTTGAGGTTTTGCCATGAACTTTGTTTTCATAGATTTTGGCAAGTGTTTAGCTATCCGAATTGCACAGGAATTGTAATGCAAAAGAAAAAACAGATCTCTGACAGAATCTATGTCAGTTTAGGTGAGTAAAAGCAATCACATAGGTTGGTCAGATAATATTGCCAAAGCACTATGTTGTGTCAACAAAGTTAGAATTTGAACTTAGTCCTTTTGACTCTTTCCTCTTGACTCTTGGGACTCTTTGACTCTCAAGACTCTTTCTCATTAAAGACAGGTTAAATTAGTATCATAGCCGGTGAAAGCAATCTTAGTTTGCATGGCGTAGGTAAATATTGCAGGGGTTCCTTCACCCTGTACTGCACAAGGAAGACCTCCTGTCACCATGTGACTGCTGTGTGTCACATCTGTGCTCACAAGACACGTTGCTGATTTTGAATTTCAGATGCAAGCTGCTGCACCAGGCGTCCTCTCCGTCAGGGCTCTCTCTTGATCCGGGCACTCCTACCAAACCCAGCTACGCTCGCAGTGCCAGCCTGCCCGCTGAAAGCCTCCCTGTGACCTGTGCAAACCCTGCTAAAGTTTCCTGCAAGAAACAGCTGGAGTGTCTGGCACAGCTCTATTCATCTTGTATAGCAGGTGACTACCCAGAAGATGTGAGACTGACCTTTCTGTCAGCCTTGAACTTGTGTGCCCCTTGGCATGGGGGAGGGCAGACAAAAGTTGTGGGCAAGTTTCAGGGTGCAAACTAGCAGCATTTAGGCAAATGAGCCATGTCAACAGTGTTACTGAAATAATTGAGTCCTAGGCAGAAGTTTAGGGAAGTAGATGAAATAACATAGTACTCAGTTGGAGAGGGCTGAAGCTGTACATTGCTATTCGCAGAAGACAGTTTGAGGAACCAGACTCTTCCTTAACATGTTCATCCTGTAATTCCCATATTTATATATACTGCAGCTGTATGTGGGAGGGAGTTTTTTGCTGCCCTGACATAGAGCAGTTCTCTGTCTTTTTACCTTCGTTAAAACAGGTCAGTGTCGAATATCTACATTTGATATACCTTTTCCTTTCAGAAAACCTGGTACCAAATATTTTTCTGGAGCTCTTTTTTGTTCTGCAGCTGTTGACATCTAAAGGCAGTTCTGCAGAAGATGAGGAGAGTGATCTTGAAGTCAATGAAACAAGTGAAGGTCAGCAATAGAATGGGAAGAATGTTATTTCCATGGAATGATAATGTGATATAGAAGAGTATTTGCCTTTAGCTTGGACAGTCCATTGGAAGTGTCTCATTACATCTGTGGGCCTGATCTGAGATGTTAGCCAAAGTGATGCATGTATGGGAACTGCTTCTGCAACATGGGTTTGAAGCAGAGTTGGTAGTTACTGCACTAATTTGGCTTTCTGCGGTTGCGTACAATTTGCTGTGATTGTTTCCAAAACAGACCTTCAAAGAGGAGGTGGTGTATGTTGGATCCTTTATTCTTTGAAAATCAAAAAGTGATTTTTTTTCTTTCTTTAATTTAAAGTTGGACGAGAGATTTGGGGTGAAGGAACCATCTGCATAAGATGCATAATTGTTGAGTTTGTTTTCTGGCAAATTCGGACATAAACGTCCTATTACGGTTGACTAAACAGTTGAGAAGGAATCTCTCCTTTTCCTACAGAGCATTGAACGATTTAGTTGCCTGAACAATAAGGAAGATGGGGGTGAGGGGATTTTTCTGTTCAGGTGCTAAGGAATCTGAACAGCTAGAAACTGAGTGCTGTTCTGGGAAACCCTTTAGCTCTCAGGATTTGGCAGTTCCTGCTTTCCTCGAGAGGTAGCTGTTGGTTATTTAGTTTATGAATGGTGATAGATGCTGTTGTCTCATGTTCCTTTTTTCGCCCCTTAGATGCATCAAGGAAGCAGCATTTCCGAAATGTGCACAACTGTGTTTATTTTGCTGTTCAAGTCTTGGATTATCAGTATGAGTGAGTTGATATATATATATATATATATATATTTTTTTTTTTTTTTTCCTTCTTCCTACCTCTGCAGGTTTATAAGAGAGGAAACCTGTGTGCTTGGATTTTAGAGCCTGGCCACTCACAGGCCTGTAGCATTTAATTTTTCTGTAAAATGCCCAGTTTGGTCTGAATTCGAATATCTGTGAGTTTTCCTTGCACTGATCTGTCCCCTAAGCTTCAGTATGACTGAGCAAGTGTGGAAAAGTTATGAGATGAGACAAGAAGGAGAAAAAAAAGAGGTTGTAATTTAGTGAAGTGGATATATTAGATGCAGACAGAATGGGAGAAGATGTCAGTAGATTTGTTTCTTTGTATAGCTTGAATGCAGATGACATTCACAGTTGGGCCTCTAATGCCAGTAGGATTTGATTTGGGTGCCTGGGACTTAACAGTCTTGATACCTTAACCATAAACATCTCTTCAAGTCTGATCATAGTATTGTTTTGTGTCTGTCCGTGGGTTTTATGGATGTTGTCTTGGCAGAATTATTTCCCGTTTAGAAAAGGGGACGCTGAAACTCTTGGCTGAAAATGAGCGGATTGCATCTTTTTCTCCCACTTTGCATGAGAGGCTCAGGCAGGCTTATGAAAGCAGCACAGCCAAGGTAAAAATTAGCGGATCTCATTTGCATTGTTTTTTTTTTTTTTTTTGCATTGTTTCTCTTCTGTTACGATGGCTTTAATGTTAAATCTCCTTCCATTTATCATGTGTATCTTGTGTGTTTTCTTTGGAAAGAGTCTAAAAACTGTTCCTTCCCTCCCCCCCCCCCCCGTCTTGTCAGTGAGCCAGTGAATTGCTAAGGTGAATGACTGCAGCTGTAAATCCCTGCTGATTTACAGGAATTGAAGCCTTACATTGTGCTTCAAGCCCTGACCTCAACCAGGGCTTCATGACAGGCCTCCCAGTGACTTTCACTGGATCCAGTTTTGCTTATGAAATTCTCCTCTAATAAACATGGATGTCAGAACGGTGGGCTGGATGCAATATCAGGATGTAATTTGGAAGGGTAGTTTTGTAGCTACAAACTCCTTTTAGGCAAATGAAATTCTGAGGAGACTATGCAGCCTGTTCCTTTGCCTGATGATCTGAGTTAGGGAACTGAAGCTGGATGGTAGGAAAGCCCATTTTATTCCCTATTTTATTTCCTCTGTGTTTTAAAAATGAGGATTCTATTGCCAAAGAAAATGTGGTGCTCTGAGGCATGTGAATAGCTGAGCTATGGTAAAGGTTTTTGTTAACTGAAGCCATATGCTTTTCAAAGTGGAGAAAGAGGAAGAATACAGGAATTGCCAGCCACTTTTCTGTGTTCTCAGGAGACTCTGAAACTCAAGATATGCTTTGACTGTTGGCAGATGGTACTGCCTTGTTTCTGTATCAGTGCTAGCTGTAATCTGATATGGAGAGATTCCTTAGAGAGGCAGGGTGCTCCCATCCATCAGACTGAAGATTCTCTTTCTGCAGTATAATGTACACAACACAACTGTGGGTGTCATTCCCCAATTGCTAACTCCTGATTCCTGATCGTTTTTTGCTACTTTTTCTAGGTACCAGATTGTTGTATAAGCTAGAGATTTCCTTTAGTGTAATGTCTGCTTTTATATTTTCATTAGGTGTCTCTGCTGCTGCCCTGCTCTGTACAGTCTGTTTCTTTCCAGCCAGAAACTGACAATCGCTCCAACTTTCCCACTGACAGAGCATTTCATATATTTAAGAAACAAAGGTAAGTTACCTCTAGGGCTACCCTATGACTCACAAGGTAGAGTCTTTCTGTAGCTGTGAACAGAGGACATTATGAATGTCTGTATTGCTGCATGCTGTAGAAAAATCTGGACATTTTCACTCTTAAAAACCTTAGTGTTTGTTCATATTGACTGCAGCAGCTAAATGTATCATGTTTTCAGACGAATTCTTCAGGAGTTGTTAAGGCTGTTGGTAAATACTAGTACAGTGCTTCTGCAAATAGTGCTGCTGCTGTTTGGGTTCTTCCTTGCCACCTCCCTCAACACATACAGCAGCAGCGTGAGGGGAGTGTGGCAAACTGTCTCGGCCCTTTTTCCTCTCCTCTGAGATGAAATGTGACTTGTTCTTTTTTGCTTCTCAGTTTTCAGTGTGTATGGGAGTGTATTTTTTGCTCTGATTGTCTGAGCTTAAGCACTTGCTTCCAGAAAGACGTGAAAAATGGAAACTGTCTGAAATACTGCTGATATTTATGAGTTTTGAAAGGGTATGTGAATGCTCAGAGGCTTGAGTTGTTTAATCTTGACTAGGTTCTTATTAGGAAGCTTATGGGTGTATATTCAGTTGCTGTTCAAATTGTGAAAACCAGGAATTCATACCCTTGAATATCTTGATTCACAGGGATATCTTTTACGAATTGCTGCGTGAATGGGAGGATAATCATGAAAAAACTGGCTGGGACTTTGAAAGAGTTCTGGGCAACAAGATCAGGTAAGAGGCTAGTGCAGCTTCAGCTAGAGCTGTACTGTGGTTTTTGCAGGGCTCTTTAATGTAGCTGAACCACTGGTGCAGTGTACTAGACACACTGGTTGAATTTCCATGTTCTTCCTCATCTGCAGTGATCTGTAGGAGAGCTGTGCTTTTAGAGGGGATGTTATCCCTGTAAACTTGCTGCTATATTTAGAGGTATCAGTTGTTACATTAAACAAGGCATAGGTGGCAAGGGCCTAATTTTGGCAGTCCTAGTATACTTCTGTCCCTGGTCATAAATGCTGGAAGAGCCACTGCTACAGCTGGTATGTTGTGGTCTGAGCATGGTTATTGCATGCACTTGGGTGTGCCTTTCATATTTCCAAAGCCCTTCTGCTTTTATACATGAAGGAATATATGTTTAGAATGTCTTAGCTCTCCTATCTAGCTCAGGGACTTATGCTTTCTTGTCTTTGGAAAGAAGCCAAGTTTGGCTGTTCCTGTGGAAAGCAAATTGTGTTTATTGGTGCTATCAAAATTAAGCGCTTATAAACAAACTGTTCAGCTCTGGAAAGTGTTTGCTGTGTGGGCTTCTCTGTTATGCTTAACCTCCAGCCTACTCGTGTTACATCTGTGAAGGTGATTTTTTTCACTAGAGGAGCAAAACAAGCCTGAGATTTAAACCTGAGAATTTTTCACTCTCTTTAAGCATCAGAAGCACTGCTTATTCTGCTTTCATCCTTGCATCTGTGTGAACTCTCAGCTCAGTGATCTGCGAGAGTGGGAGCAGAAGTCATTTATTTTCTTACTAAATACCATCGTGATTACAGTAGAGGAGCAGGGTCTGTTCATCTCCTCCAGAGCTGTGTTTGCTCTGCAGGTATGCAGGGAGAATCCAAGGACAGTTTTTATTTCCACCATCAGCAGATGGGGTTCAGTGCTTGTGACACCTGATTATAAAGAAGATATTGCAGTGTCTTCTTTTGAAAGAGTTCTGGAAATCACTTTCTTAAAAGCAGTTGTTTGTGCTTCTGCTATAATTGAGGATAAAATGCTTTTTCACACCATAGAGATCCAGTCAGCATTTTATGATGTTTTCTTTACAGGGCCATGATGGCTCACTTATCTGCAACTTGCAACCACAGCCACTTTGCAAGGCTCTTTCAGAAGCAGCTCATCCAGGTAAATGACTTATTTTTGAATGGAAAAAAACATCATCTATATTGTTTTACCTCTTCCTCAGCCCCGCAATAAATACTGTGTCCTGCAGGTTTACTTTTCTATTGATTTTTTTGTATTAATTTTGTATTATATTTTTTGGGAGAGCCAAGTATTCGGGATGGAAATTTATTTCCTTTTCCTGAAATACAAATTGTTGATAAGCTCTGTGTAAATCAGAGTTAAGGTGTAGTGAGCACATTGTGAGCTGTAAGGCTTCATTCTCTATTCTTTTCTTTCACTTTCTAATATTAGAACAGTTACAGTTTTTCAAAATATAAATATATATTTCAATATGTATCAAATGTAGAGGTACCCAGTTATGCTCCTTAGCAATATTAATTATTGTTTCTTGACTCTGAGTACAGTGCATGCAAAGTATCTGTGCTTTTTCTGAATAACTGCACAACAAATGTTTGTTTGCTTTTTATGCATTTGGTGGGGGGCTAGTTTCAAGCACCAACTGACTTCGCTGTAGCTGAAGAAAAGAAAAAAGAAAATGCTTCTGGTTAAAGTATACATTTTCAGTGTATTCTCTCTGAGTGGCTGGCTTTTATTTGCATTTCCTTTTGGACAGAAACATGGACCAACAGAAACAACAGAACACACACGCGCACACAAATTTAAGAGTTTTAGTCATTTGCATTGATCCAAATTCAGAATGGACATTAAAAGAATCTCAGTATTCCAGCAGTCCAAGTCTTCTTGGTGATGTCCTATCTGATGTATATTTTCAGAGGAGTGTGTAGGGGGAAAAATGTGAAATGGACTCTACATCAACAGGATTAAATGAGTCGTAGGTGCTGAACTTTCCCGTTTTGCATTCACGGCTCCCTATTCTTCCTGTCTCCTGAAGATGTGCAAAGGTCCCATTGGTGGTGGCACAAGCTGGGGAGACACCCCCGACCAGGACGTCCTGAACATGCTGGGCCCTGACAACCTGAGCCGCCTGAAGAGGCTGCAGGAGAGGTTCGTCGTTCCGCAGAGCATCGGGGGACCCTGCCCGCCGCCTTCATTCACCGGGTGCCAGCAGTTCTTCAGGGACTTCATCCTCAGCGCAGGCAGGTCAGCCGCCCCCGGAGAAGGGCTGGCCTGGGCTAGGATGTGCTGCTTTGGTGGCACGGAGCTTGCAGGCTGCAAAATATCAGTGTCCTTGGCTGCCAAGCACAGCGCACGTGCTCATAAATGTGTTAGGCTGGAGGGAAGAATTGGCCAGGGAGGGCTGTTACGTTAGGCCAGACTGTGGTAATTTTTGCATGAAGCCATATTCATGGTTCTACTTGATCAGTTTTTCATACTCCACAGAGTAGTTTCAAGTCTGTAAGAGATCACAACTCATGCAGGTTCGGTTAGCTTACAGCTTCTGCTTGCACAGATCCGCATCCTTATCGTTACACTGGGACACGCTGAGCGGTGGCTGTTCCAAGGAACAAAAGATAAGGATGGAGAAAGGAGTGTGCAAGCATTAGCTCTGCAGAAGTCTTGTCCCGGTGTGTCTTGGCTGTCAGGGTGGTACTTTGGAAGTTCTTGGCTGGATAAAATCTGTAGTACTTAATTTGATTTGGTGACAGAGCCTTGAAATATCGCAGTGTTAGTTGAGGCTTTGCTGCTGTTTTCAATCTGACCAATCGTGATGTTTTGCTGAAGTTACCAGTTCAACCAGCACCTGGTGGATAGCCTGTGCCTGAAGATCCTCGAATTAGATGGCCTTACTCTGATAGAGCATGTGCACAGTGATGGGGAAGCAGATATGGATGAACAGGTAAGCTTGGTTACAGACACCTCTGGCAGGAATGTCCCTGAATTGTACCTGTAGCTAAAGGACTGTTGATTTGGTTATAAATGGAGTTACAAATTTTCTTCCTTTTAAGAGTCCTTTTACAGTTAATGGGTATGTCTGTCATTATATATGTAGGACAAGACTTCTTCATTTGGTTTTGTTGTATCTTGGCAATATAACTTGGGTTTATGTGTCTGAGCCCCTTCCCAGTTACTTGTGTGCCTCAGGAACTATGTCTTAAGAGATGATGGACAAGAGTTTGAAAAGTGATTTGCTCTGAGGGAGCCTCCATTTCAGCCCCCATATCAGGTCTGCTTTGTCAGTGAAATAGGCAGGTTTAGTTGTGGCACTTGGCTATTACATCTTGCTACTCTTCCAGATAGAAAGACTTCAGTAAGAATGAATTTGCAGTGGTGCCTATCCAGGTGTTTCTTCACTCCCCTATACCTAGATCCTCATCTATACCTCAGAGCTTACCTATATTAGCAAAGTAGCAGCCAAGATTCATGGAAATTTACCAAGCAGTAGCCATATGGAGGAGGTGTCTCGAGATTCTCTACCATCTCACTGCTTACCAAGTTGTTAATGCTAAGGTGTGACTGAGCAGCAGCTTGTTTCAGAAAGTTCTCAAATAATTTCTTCCTGCTACAAATGAAGCAGTGGATGCAGAATCATCCACATGGAGAATTTTAAGTGTATATGTTTAAAATATATGTGCATTTAGGAAACTTACAGTTATTAAAATGGAAGTTCTGTGTAGGTATTTGTTTGACAGTTCAGTGTATCATTGCCCCAGCTGGTCTTCCTTTTTCATTTCAGGATGAAAAGAAGCGTTTCACTGTGGTGCTACTAAGCCTGCGACTCCTTGCCAAATTCCTGGGGTTCCTGGTTTTCTTGCCATATCGCAGCATGGAACAGCCAACTAGAGACTTGCTAGAGTCTGCAGTAGCTTTAAGAAACAAAGTAAGAAACCAAACACTTGTAATTAAGCATGGACCTTTGCTTGTCAGGAAGATTTCCTAACCTAAGGAGGGGATTAACTTTAGTGATGTCAGTTCATGGTGAGCCAGTGGTTCCTCAGGCTGTGATGCACCGATCTGTGTCCCTGCTATGTGTCCTGGGAGGGTGCAGACAAAGAAAAGAAAAGAGAATTTCTGTAACTCGAAAAGAGGGAGCAGTGTAACGATGATGAAGGGTCCATCTCACCAGAGAGAGGAGCTCTGGCAAGCTGGGGCTGTCATAGCAGAACTCAGACTTAACTAGGAAGACTTGTGTTTGTAGTGTAAAATCCAGCCACCAGAATTCTTTGTGTATGTTAGCTTAGCAGCCTGCTTCTAGCAGTGTGGCACAGTGAGTGCATCAGCGTGGGCACTAAACCTCATTCCAGTGGTACGCAGTCAATATTACAGCCTTGCAACTTTCCTTTTGAAAGTCACAGTAGAGCCTGTGGTTGCTCATGTGTGGTTTTTATCTCTGTTGGAGTGCAGGGAAAAAAATCATAAATCAAAACTGTAACCCATACTTGCCCATAAGATTTGCAGAAAAAAAAAAAAAGACATGATATAGATAAGATTTTTCTGTAAGTATCAAAAGGTGATTGTGGGCTACTGCTTTAAATCCTCTTGTCCATCAAGACCCAGCCAGCACTGGATGTATTGAAGCTTCTGAGACAATCTATTCGAGACCGACGTGCTGTCCTCACCATTCCATGGATTGTGGAGTTCCTTTCCCTTGTGGATCATATAGCTCCTTTTCTTGATTACTACAGGAAGGTATTTTGTCTCTTGCTGCAGGTATACAGGTAAGACCCTATGAAAGGGCATCTGTTCAAGAACTGTTCTGTGAAGGCATGTTCGCATAGTTGAGGTAGCTGCCCCTTGAGAATGAATGCTCCCCATGCTTGAGATTCTTATAAAAAGTAGATCTTTTGCACTAGAGCAGAGCACGAGCACTCCTGACTTAGAACTGCAAAGGGAGCACATGTTAAACTTTGAGATTAATGCTGAGCATCTGCAGCTGCGAATTTTAGCTTTGCAATGACCTACGCAGTTTTCCCTGCCTAAATAATGCTCTAGGTTTCCTTCCTACGTAGGAGAGGGTGATTATTCTTGAGGGTTATTTAACGCTGTCTCTTCCAGTGTGAGTTTACAACAGAATATTGTTTGGATGCATACACACAAAGCAAAAAGAACGTGCTTTCAGCTCTGTGGCAGCATATAGGGAATGTGTGCATGATGACTAATAATATACTCTGAGTGAGGGGGTTGTGGAATTTTTCTTAAAATTGAGCTATTGAAATCTAAGACACTCTCCCTCACTTGCTGCGTGGCAGGTTAATGGTCCTTTCTGAAGAGAAGGAGATGAGTTTCCTGAACAAGCTGCTGATTCTTGCAGTTCTGGGTTGGCTTTTTCAGGTGAGTGTCTCCTGTGTGTCTGAGGCTCTGCCCTGGAGGAAAACAGAGTGAACAGCTCAATAGAAGGCAATATAAAAAGGAATGAAAATACTGCACAAAACTTACCTTTTGCACTAGTGTGGGGTTTAACACTGCTCTGCATTCTAGTAGAGAAATGTTTTCCTATAATGGAATTTTGTGTGAAACAACATTTTTTTTTCCAATTTGAACCCCAACTTTTGCTGAAACACATTCTGTCTTAATTACTGTGTATCTTTGTAAGCAAATAGCTAATTCTGTTAAAATTGCAAGTTCTTATCACAGGCTTTGGGCTGTTTGGGGTGTAGCTATTAGAGTTTCCGTTTCAGGTTCCATCAGTCCCTGAAGAGCTGTTCTTTAGCACCGACGTGAGGAAGGAGGGCTTGGTGACGGATACTGTGACTTCCCCTCGGGCTTTGGTGAGTTAGTGCAACAGCAGCTCCTCTGAATCTGTGGCTGAGGAGTCACAGGGGTTGCTGTCTTTGGAGCCAGCTTCTATCTAGTTGTGTGGCAAAGGGCAGCTGGTTTGAAAGTAGAGCAGCTGAGCTGAGTGAGCAGAGAAGCAGGTGAGTAGCAGTTACTTGAAACATATATTCCATCCATAGCAATGAATAGATGGTATTTCTGGAAAAATCAGGAATATGTTAGGTAAAGCTTGTGTGTCCTGTTCCAGTTGGAAGGTTCTGCTTTGCACAGTCTCTCAATGGCAGTTATAGTGCAGAGATCAACTGAATCTCTACACCTGTGGAGGTGTAATGCAGGGCAGGTGTGCCTTATTAAGTCTCTCCTGTGACTGTTTTCTCTCTCAAAAGTTGCAGCTGTGGCAACAGCCCTAGTTTTCTTCTGGAATTTCTGGGGTTCAGTTGGTCTTTGGTGATCAGAAGCAAAGGTTGAGCTTGTGGTTGCAAAGTTCATTATCCTGCTGTGAAGGTGTTTGATTTGGGCTCCAGTTAACTTCGTTGTTTTTGTGGAAAGGCTGCTTTGACATGTGCATGTGACTGGAATGTATGTAGTTTCTGACTTTCTAATGACTGTTTCTTTTTTTACTATGTCCTTTAACTTTTCCTCTCTCACCAGGACTCCGTACCCTTGGTGGATCAGCAGTTACTTTACACCTGCTGTCCCTATCTTGGTGAGTATTTTACTGATGTTTGTCCTAGCATCCTTTGGTACTGTGAGTCCTCAGATCATCTTTCTTCCCATTCCTTAGCTCTCAGCTGTGTGCAGCAAAACCTTGATGAAAAACTGTATCATGGATCCTGCAGTTGTGAATAATAACTGGTAAAGTTGTGGGAGGGAGGCTGCACAGCCAAGATAGCTGATTTACAGAGCTAGAATATGAAGGAAAAGGCAACTTGATGTCCTTGCACTGGAAGAAATGTAACAAGGGGTTGAGTGTGACTTTTTTCCATCGTATATAGAGGGAGAGGTGCTTGTTCCGAGTACCTTAATTCCAAAGCATATTTCTGTTGTCAGACAGAGGGAAAGATCCTGTTATCTTATTAAAGTATCATATACTTTAAAGCACTTATAAAGCACTTATTAAAGTGCTGATACTTTATCAGGTTGTTTTCTGAGGCAATGTAACTACGTCTTTCCAGCTTTTTTTCTGGGACCTGATTGCTAGGGGTGAAGCCCATCTCTGCAGAGAACAGAGTGCTGGATGGTGGAACAGAGTGCAGCCCTCTCCCTCTCAGGAGTTTGGTGCTAGCACATAGGGGTTATCACAGGGTTTTCTGCATCCTGGAAGCTTCTGGTGATTAAACAAATTCTCAAGCTTTTTTCTCAGTCTTTTCTCCTGACCCTGCTGGAATTTTGAGAATTGCTGCTTTTCCTGTTGCCTGTGTAGACTTTGTACCATTCCTGCTTGCCTGGATTAAAAAGGAGTAATAGAAATAGCTGCTCCCTGATGCTTTTGAACAAGTTCCTAAGCACCAGGGAACATTTTGGAGCCTTGCTTGCCCTGTTGTCCTGCCAGTTAGGTGGATGGGATGCCTCTCTGTTCCTCGGAAACTTCGACTTCTGCATAAGCTGAAAGAATCTGCCCCGGAGAAGGGACTTGGCTCTCTGGAATTCTCTGTGGATTTGGACAGTTCTGTACATGGGAGCAGTTTGTACTGCATGTGGGATTGATGTCCCTTTTGCCTGCTTTGCCTTACAGGAGAGCTGCGGAAGCTGCTTGCCTCTTTTGTGGCTGGCAGCGGAACAAAGAACGGTGGCTTCATACGGAAAATCACTCCAACAGCTGCCGAGTCTTTGGCACCCAAACCTTCTGCCACACAAAGAAAACTTCAGGTAAGGACACCTGAGAAGGGCTGGGTGCTGCCTCCTGGTGTGAGCAGGGGCCCGGGTGCTTATTTGTTGTGAAGGGCCTCTGATCTCGTGTGCGTGGCTTCTCCAGGAGAGGCAGGGCAGCAGAAATGACTTCTGTGGTGGTAGGGCACATAGTGGCATCCTAATGTTAAGGAAAGAATGATGTAGACCTAGAGAGCAGGGAATATTCTTTGAGAGCTAGGTAGCCTCCACCCCTGCATTCTGCTGGTTAAATCATGTGGCTAGAGAAATTCAAGAAACATCATCGAAGTCAGAACTAGCCTCTCTCTGTGCCTCTCCTAAACATCTACTATTGGTTCATTTTCCATACTCTGCTTTGGTTAGACTGTAGCTGCCTTCCACAGAAGGTGAGAACAGGATTGCCAGCCTATGAATAAGATGATGCTTTTTTCCAAAGCAAACTGTGGGTTTCCAAAGCAAAGTGCTGGGTCAGTGCAAGCAGGTGCTGCTGGAACTCCTCCCATTCCTTTCTTTACTAGTCATGGGCTTTCTTAGTCTCATAAAAGCTACTAGTAGCTCTGGATTAAATGTCTAGAAGGAAATAGGAAGTGGATGTCAGATGCTCCAAAAGCAGGATGTTCTGGTACAAGCAAATTGTGCTCTTCTGCACAGTTCATATTCTAGTCCTGTCTGCTTCTGTGCTGAGAGGAGGATCTGGGTGGAGTGCTCTGATCAAATTGTAGCACTTCATTTCTCTTGAACAGGCAGAGTTGGAACAGGCCTTCTTCCACAACCAGCCCCCCTCCTTGCGGAGAACAGTTGAATTTGTGGCAGAGAGGGTGGGATCCAACTGCGTTAAGCACATCAAGTAAGTGCTGGTGAACTGTCCTGTGACTTAAGAACTGACTTTGCAGTGCCGAGGAAAGGAGATGATCCTTAATTCCATGTATAGAGGGGAATTTTGGGTGGGGGAGAAAACCTCTGTTAGTGGACTGTATAGCAGAACACTAAGCTGGGAGAGTGAGGTCAAGTAACATCTGAATTTGTATCAGAGAGGAGTTTTGAGGAGGGATGCAAAGAGGAGGATTATGTAGTTTGGGAATCTTGGTCTGTGAGCCTAGTGGTGCATTTAGAGACTTAATTTCACATCACTTTCAGAATGTTCTTCCGAACCACAGTAAAACTGAAGCTGGAAGGGACCCCTGGCGTCATCTGGTCCAGACTCCTCCAGGGCCAGCGTCAAAGTTAGGTCAGGTTGCTCAGGGCCTCATCTAGCTGAGTTGTGAAGATCCCCAAAGGCAGGGATTCAGCCCGTTCTTGGCACTCTTGTCGATGCCTGATTCTCCCCCACTCCTTGAAAAATGTTTTGTGTTTTGTTGTTATTTGCTTGTTTGTTTTTTAAATACTATCAGAATTTTTCTTGCCTGGTTTGTGCCTGTTGCCTCTCGTCCTTGTGCTCTCTGCTATCTGGAGGAGTCCTGCTCTGTACCTTTCTCTGCTCCCTCTTCCTGCCCCCTCACTCCCTGTCCTCCCCACTGTACCTTCTCTTCTCCAGGCTAATTGAGACTGGCTCCCAGAGCCTGTCCTCCTTTGTCATGTGCTCCAGCATCCCAGCCATCATAGCGACACTCTGCTGGACTCATCCCAGTTGCCAGGGACTTTCTTGTATCCCGTTCTGGGCGCTCAGTCCAGTCCTGGTCCTGGTGGAGCCTCCCGAGTGCTGAGAGGGAGCAGTAACTTCTTCGACTGGTGCTCATGCAGCCCAGGATGAGGAGACCTTGGCACATTGGCTTGTTCAGCTTGTCTGCAGGGAGGCCCGGGTCCATCTGCCTGCACCGGCGCACGGGCTGTTCCTTCCCAGACACAGAGCCCTACGTTTCTGCTTGCTGAACTTCCGAGCCTGCTCTTGCTTTCTGCAGCCTGTGAAGGTCCTTCTGAATGGCAGCCCTGCCCTCCAGCAGGGCCTGTGCTGAGGGTCTCCTGTGTCCATGTGACAGGCTTGTTGAAGGCATTGAACTATATGTGTTAAAACTTAGTCTTTTAACTCCGAGTTTTACCACTGTTGTGATACCTCCATTGCTGTTTATTTCTACTGAAAAGATGTGGTGATTGTATAGTACTGAACACTGCATGTTTAATTCCTTTTAACAGAGTGCCCTGTTGCATTTGTACCCAAAACAGGTGTCCTCCTGGAATAGGGGGAAATGTATGGAAACAGTGTGCCTTATTATTATTATTATTATTTTTTTAATTATTATTTTTTCTGGACTTGATTTTGGTCTGCTGGCTTCTCTTCCAGGGCCACGCTGGTAGCGGAGCTGGTTCAGAGGGCTGAAGTCATGTTGCAGGACAGAGTGAAGGAGGTGGATGCCAACCACGACAAGCTGCTGGAGGAGGCCTGTGCCCAGCTCTACGAGGAAGGGGCCCAGGCTCTCATCAGAGGCAGAGAGTAAGGAGAAACTCTTGCAGTTTGTGCCTTCCCTTCTCTTTTCCTTGTGGACTCTAAGCCTGTTGTGCTTGGGATCTGCTAATGATGAACCTTGATCTGGCTGTGTGCTGTGCCTCCAGCCAGTTAATGCTGTATTTGTAGGAAGCAGTAAAGGTGCTGTGGGTTGCTCTGCTGCAGCCTGGGCTCACACCCACTGCTGTTTCTTTATATCCCCTCCTTGGAAAACTGAGTGTTGCAACTTGGTGACTTGTGACTTGTCCTTCCTTATCTGGTTCTCTTTATCTGACTTCTTTTCACTGAAGTCTTCTGTGTGGTTTTGACTGTAAGAGTATGTGACCGTTGCCATGATAATGAACTTTGGACTGTTGTCTGAGAGCTTGACTAACACTATGATATGTTTTTATTTTTTGGATTCTGTTTTCTTTTAATTTTTTGCAGATTTTGCAAGAAGAAAGGGCCTGAGGCAGTCAGAGTGTTATTACCAGAAGAGACATCTGCAGCAGTATGTATTTATTAAAACTCATTAAAGACTTGACTTTGAGTCCAGATCATTATTGCATTTCCATTGCTGCTCCCTTAATAGTTTAGGACAATGGAATCTATGGAGGCCCTGGTGTAAACACTGTTAGCTAAAGGAAAGTGTCACCATCTCCAGGCCCTGGGTATTGTGGCTGAAGTGATTCTGTAGCCAATAGGCAATTCCTAAATCTGTTGAGATTAGTGGTGTGTAATTTATGCTCTTATCTTCTATTCTCAACTTCTACAATATTTGATGTAGTTTGTATGAGAAACCAAAAGGGGTCTGTCCTATTGCTCAGGATATTGGTTCCCACAGTAATGGTGGCACCCTGTTTAAATAGTGATATCCAAGACTAAAACATTTCCTGATAGAATTTCTTCTGATTTTTTCACTGACTGGTGATGTGGTTGGTAATTAATACATTGCTGCTTGTTATGTTGCCCCTAAAGGTTCTGAACAGTGCAGAAGACATTGCAGTGGAACTGGCTACTGAGAAAGCCTGTGGCTGGCTTTCTGCCAACATTGCAGGTGCGTTGCCTTACCCTGCCTGGGCCCTCTGATGTGAATACAGCACTTCTAGCTGAGATCAAGGCATAGAAGTTCATTCCAGTGTCATGAAGTACTTGGTCATATTCATTTTTCTTTTAGTGGGAAGCATGCAGTTGTTCTGTTGCTCCTTGTTTAGGAGTAAGAGGAATGATATGTAGCTCCAAGAACCTTTCTTCTTCAGGGATATTTCAGACTTGGTCCATGTAAGTGATTTTTGGCTATGGAGGCAGACAAGATGGTGAGGATGAATGTTATAGAAGGTGCCTTCTGAAAATACCACCCAGGCTGAAGTTGTCTGTATGACACCTTTGGAGTGCTAAGACAGCTGCTTTCTCAAGCCACCATATGGTCCACGTGTACACAGTGCTCCTGGAAAGCACTTAAACCAAACGTGCCCTGGCCTGGATGTGGTTTTGTGAAGCTGAAGGCAGCTCTAGTCTCTTTAGTCTGTAACAGTGAGAACCTTTCAAGCTTGTGGGTTCAGGATTTCTTGCCAGGAATTGGGGAAGAAACGTCTAGCACTGCTGCAGCAGCAGGAGCCTCATGTTCCACATGTTGGACAAAACTTATTTGGGGATAAAACACACAGCTTCCATGGGCACAGTAGCTGAACTGGTATGATCACACTGGTTCTGCTTGCTAATTTGGCATTGCTTCCTGGCTTACCTACTTCATGTTTGTTAAACCCTCTCATCCTTTTGATGGTAAATTAGAGATGAGTGAGTTATCAGTGGTAGCTTGTGTCTCCCTTTAAATCTGTGGATTGACTCTCCATCCCTAGCAGCGCCTCTGCCCATGCAACACGAGGGTCCAAAGGGAGGAGGATATGAGAGTGGAAACTATCCTTGCCTCATTTCTAACAGCCCTGAGCACGGGAAGCCTATGGGGGCAGTGTGTGGAACCAGTTCTCGGCCTCACTGGAGAGAAGAGCGGAGCTAAACAGGACTTGTTCTCTGTTTTCTGTAGCACTCATCAAAAGGGAAGTGAAGGCAACGTTCAACAGGATGCTGAAAGTGCCAGGACCTCCGCAGCCGAGCGAGGATGCCCAGGAGTTGAGAAGGGCCTGTCCCCCAGGCTGCCAGCACCGCGCTCCATTGCCCTCCCAAGTCATCAATGAAATCAAGGTACAGAGCAGCTCACACCCTGCCTCGTGCAGCCTCCCTTCTTATTCCTCCTCCTCTGATTCTTGATGGGAGGAAGGTGACATTCTGATCCTAAGGCCCTGGCTGTGGGAAGTGTGGGGAAGTGGGATGGGAAGATCTCTCGTTATTTCATCCCCTTCTTTCCTGCCTCTCTAGCACTGCTCTCTGGTCAGACTGCAGTCTCACACACAGGATTCTCGGGGTTGTGGCAGGGTCAGGAGTGCTGCTTCTGCTGGCCTCTGGTCAGAATAACTGTTTCACGTTGGTCCTTTCAGTTCTGCAGAGCTTGTTAGATTGCCTCATCTTGCACATCAGAGGAATTGCGTGTTGAATTAAATGTCAGAGGGATCTGTATGAGGCTGTTGAAAAAGCTTTGCCAGTCTGCACCTGCCCTTCGCTGGGGTGCAGCTGGGGAGAGTCAGAATTAGCTGAAAAGGAGGAGGCGGAGGGGATTTATATTCAGGTTCAGGCAGTTTTCTATGCAAGCTGGTTCAAATTACATTTTGGTCTTTACAGGTTTAAAATGTCACTGTTCTCATAAAAATGATACAACTGCATAATCTGAGTCCATAACCTTTGAGAAATAAATGGAATTCTAAAGTCTACTTCTCAGCTATGTGTTCTGCCTGCGTTTCACCTTCTCTCATCTGAACAATAATTCAGGATCTCATTGTAATCAGATTTCCAGCATTTTTATAAGAAAGAGTGCAAATATCCTATAATGCTTTTCTGCTTCAGCAAAAGGAAAAAACAGGGCAAGACATGAGAAGAAATTGGGGGATTTTTCTGCAGACTGTTGCCTTTTGGAAGATGTTTTGATGGGATATCTTTTGGAAAGCATATTTTTAAAATGATTTCATCTTTTAAATTTCTTTGGTAAATCACTGATGGTGAGAGGTGCTGCCATGCATCACACACACAATCTGGTAAACCAGTAGATTATTTATAGTCTATACGTACACAATATTTATACCATAACTGTGTTAGTGCTCTTTATACCTGGCTCGGGCTACCTTGTCAGTTGTCATCTAGGTTTCTGTAGCAGTTCTGTCTGAATGTGCTTTGGCAAATATATTGAGAGCTTTCCAAGCTGGGTGCTTACTCCCAAAGGCCTGAAAGAGGGAGAACCACTTGCACCCATCGACTTTGTCTTCATCACAACAGTGAAAATTACGGGAGGAAAACAGCTCCAAGTGAAATTTTGCAAAAAACATCAACTTGGATCTCCTGGTCCTCTCATCTGTCATAGGTTTCAAAGATCTCTTTCTGGCAGCACTGAGTGGTGGTGGTTGAGTCACTGTTTTGCTTTTCACCAAGGATGTGCTGTGCGTTGCTGTGGGCCCTCGGGACGAAGGGGAAGTCATTGACTACGACTGGCTGGAAAGCCTGCTTGGGAGACTGAGACAGACACTGCGGTGCAGAAAGGTAGAATTAAAAAAAAAATCAGTTTGAAACCTGTAAGCTCTTGAGCTTGCCTTACCTCAGAGGTGAATTCAATCAAAATGTTCTTTTCATCTAAAATCAAATGTAGCAAAGTTACACTGTGTTTTTTAGTCTCTGTAGATCTGCCTGTAGCTTAAATTAGCCTTTGTGGGCTCTCTTTTCATGGAGAATCTCTTTGTGGCTTTGGTTTGTTAATGGCTACCAGATCACGTCTCGGTGCTCTTTGCTGTGAAGTGCATGTCCTCCTTTGCTATTATTACCCTTTGTGAAGCCTGTTTTGCCCAGTCTGCCCTATGAGAACAAAGATGAAACATTTTTGTGTTTTCCAGTTCATGTGTCCCACATCAGAACAGCAGCTGGCAAAGTGCACGGTTGAGCTGGCTTCCCTGCTGGGTAAGCTGGACACGATACACAATTTAAGGGTAAAAAGTGCTATTGCTGGTCTCTTAACTGCCCAGGGTCAGAGCTTTCACTCACTGAAGCTTGTGGAGATTTGCTGCTTTCTGTGGGTTGTTTTCTTTCCTTTCTGTTTACCCTCCTTTCCCTTGCTCGGTTTGTACAATTAATGACTTTTCTCAGCATGAGCTCGTGGCCTGGACGCAGCTGCTTCGCCCAGGGGCAGCCTCTACATTTGCTTGTCTAGAACCTTCTCAAGGAGTTTTCCTCTGGTTGACTCTTTCAGAAAGCAGCCCCTTTGTGACTGCCGTGGAAAGTTCAGTCTGGGGGACAGCAATGTGAATATGCTCTCCCTGTGTGTATGTTTAGCTGCAGTGAAAGCAGTGAGCTCTGTTGTTCACTTTTATTTTTGTTTACATACACTCATTTAAGTCTGGGTGTAAGAGCCGCTGTTTAATCTGTTCAGAGATTTAAATCTTGGTTTTACTTTGTTCCGCCTCTTTCTCCAGGGAATAACAGCTTATCTTCTGTTTAAGCATTAGGCTCTTCTGTGGGTTTTCATTCTTACTCAGTCTTTTTCCAGGACTTGTCTACCAGAGCAGATCTCCCCCTGGGCAGCGTTTCATAGTGGAGCGTCAGAGCCATAACTTCACCCGTCTCTGTGCTCCAGTGCCCGCAGCTCACTCGTTTCCCTTCACCGAGTCTCTCTCCCTGTGGTGCCTGTTGGGTTGCCTGCTCTGCAGAACGTGCTGCTGTCGCACCGGGAGGAGTGAGCGCAGGAGGACGCGGCAGCGCCGGGCAGCTTCGCGCTTTCTCTCCCAGTTTCAGGTGGTGTTCCCCTGCGCCGGAGCCCCGCGTCCCCCGGGAGGAGCGCGGAGAGGCGGCGCGCGCCGGGCGGCCTCGTGGCGCGGCTGCTCTCGCTCTGGAAGGAGGATTTCGGGGCGCCCGTTCCCGTGCGGCTGCTGCTGAGCGGCAGGAACGTCGCGTACGCCGCGCGGGCCCAGCGGCCGCAGGTAGGCAGCGCCTCCGGCTGCGCGCGCTCCCGCTCGCCGGGGCCTTCCGAGGCTGCTCCCGGCTCCGGCACGTCCGGCTCGCTGGGAATGGGCGGGAGGGAAGGGGGCTGCCCGCGGAGCTTGGGTCAGTGGGGGAGGTTTGGGAGCTGCTCGTGGGCTGCGCTTGGTGCAATCGCAGCTCGTTAGGAGCGTTCATTTTTGTATGGGGCCCTTAGCAGAGCCCCAGCTCGGAAGCTGAAAATCTAGCCTAAGGGCCTACTTAGCTGCAGGCTGGAACCAGCTTATTTGGGAAGTAAAGATGTGTGCCCTTGAGCATACAGGAGCAAAATACTTGGTGTGTTTTGGGACTGGGAATCAGAATTTGTGACTTCAGGGGAGGCTGCAAAGTATGAACTGGAGCAAATTCATTCATTCATGTTGGGTGTTGGTCTTTGCTGTGCTTTACTGTCTAACCCAGGGCAGGAACAGGCTCTCGTCCTTCACTGCCTCCCTAACATTGTGATCCAAGAAGGCAAAACATGAGCTGTATAGGGATAAAGCGGAAGTGACACCCAATCCATTCCTTGATGTTTGATGCTTTTTCTCTTCTGCAGTGGGATTTGTTCCTCTTCATGCTTCGTGGCCTCGTGGAACATGATCTGATGGGAATTAATGAAATAGTGAATTGCTTGCATAACCTCAAAGAGCTCCCTTGGCCCTCAGTAAGTAATAATGTGTGTGTGGCTATGAAGTGAAATAAAAAGTAATAGCACAGAACAGTAAATCATTGGAGCAGATGAAGCCTGTAACTGTATAACTGTAACTGCGTAATGCAGCAGCAGGCCTGGCATCCAGCACGTTGGTACCCGTAACATCGTTTATGGTCCCCTCCCGTTGGAAACATTTCCATAGAAGCGGTAGAACAGTTGGGAGAGGGGCTGGGTCCAGTCCCGGCGCTCGCTTCCATGGGCTGTGTCCGCCTGCCCCAGCGGAGCGCGGCGTGCCCAGGAAGGGGTCGGGGAGCAGCTTTGCCTGCACGTGCTCTTCTTCCCACCCCGGGCTGGTGCTCTGGGTCTGGCCAAGCCCTGCAAGCTGGAGGAGTTTCGGCAGGTAGGGTTTAACGGGGGTCCTTCCCCTCGAGAGCTGAGGGATCAGTAGCACGACTGAACGTGTAGACCCGCAGTCAGTCATCTCGACCCTCAGTGCTGTAGCTTGGCTAGGTTTTTGTGCTTGAATCCCTTCAACAAGATAAAATACATGAAGTCTTCTCTACTAAAGTAATTAAGCCTCTCAGTTGGTATCTGTTAATCTGGGCGCTTTGCTTTGTGTCTGTCACAGGACTTCCTAAAGGAACTGGAAGGGCTCTCCGGAGCGTTCGTCTCGGAGCACGGCGCGGCCGCGGCGCCGCCGGCCGCCCGCTCGGAGCCGCCCAGACCGGTGCCAGGCGCCCTGGCCGCGCAGAGCTAGAGCCGCGGGGGCCCTGGCTGCGCGGGGGCTGCCCCCGGGCTGCCCCTGTGGCTCCTGCGGGACGTTCTGCCGCGGTGCCGCTGCCGCCAGCCGCACACGGAGCTCCGGGCACACCTGCCCTACGCACCTGGAGCGTGGCCCACAGCGGCTGGTGCCTGCAGACCCCTACAAGGACCCTTGCTGTTTGCACTGAGCTGTGCTCAGCCCCGCGTCACTTCAGGTGGCTACAAGCGGCTGCGTGAGCAAGAGAGGTGGTTCCCTGCTGGCGCTCATGACGTTAATGTGACTTCTCGTGGTCTCCCTTCCCAAAGACTGTGCTGTTGGGGAGAGATGAGGTGACCCTGTACGACATGGAGATGAGCCTATATTTATTTTTCACTGTAAATTCAATTTTGAAGGTTTGATTTTAATTTTTTAAGACTCATTTTAAAAGTGAAATCATATTAAATATGTGCACCAGAGCATTGATGGTATTATTCTGAAAGGCTTTGGCTGGATTGGTTTTTTTCTTTCCTTTCCATCTCTAGATGGAAGTGTACCTTGTAATTTCCTGGGATTTTTAATGGAGATAATGGAGAAAATATCTGTGTATATTTTTTACTGGACAGATTGACAGTATTTTGAAGAAATGTTTTTATATATGCAAGCACAAATGGTATGGAGCCATTTGCTGTTTTTTTTTATAATCCTTCTTGCCTTGAGTTTGGGTTTTTCAGATGAGAAATGCTCCAACAAGAGACCCTCCAGCCTGGAAGAACAGACAGGGAAATGAGGCAGGAAAAGAAATACGTGCCCTCCTCTGGAGAGCAGCTCTGGAAGGAAGGAGAGCTGCAGTTCCTGGAGCCCGGGGGGCCCTTTCGGACAGACCATCGCTGGAGTGTGACCGCCCCGGTACCCCCCCAAGTATCGCTGTGATGGGGCTGTGGGCAGCTGTGGGTAGTTATTTGCTGTCTCATCTTTACTGTAGCAATAAGGCTTTTAGTTCCCTTTTGGCTAGAATCATCTGCTTAGCCCTGGATTTTCAGAAACCAAATACTCCATTCTGTAAGAAAGAGAAACAGCTGGACAAGGTGAGGGCAGGGCCCTTCAATGGTGTAACTCGGATCCCTTCTTTCTTATGAGGTAGAAGAGATTACATCTCAGTTGCCTTTCCTCCTTTCCTCCCTCCCTTTCTTCTTTCTTTCAAAAAAAGACTCCATAACTGATTAGATAAAATTCTGACTTGTGTTCCAATGTAGCTGAGGCAGAGCGAGGGCGAGACTGTAGAGGCGTGTGGCTGGGTCCTGAGCTATACTCAGCATTTAATGCTTTGGTGGCTCGGTGCAGTGCTGAGCTGTCAGGTGCCCTCTCTGTGCCTCGTTGCAGGGGCTCTGGTGGGACTGAGTGGGAGGGTACCCAGAAGTAGCTGTGTGTGCAGCGAGGACAGGGCCAGGGGAGGACCATGCCAGCTCCCCGAGGCTCAGTGTTGGGTGATGCTGCTCGCCTTGAAGTTGTTATAATAAACGTGATTCACTGTGCTGTGTCCAAGCGGTTGGTGTGCAACAGGTCTGTAATGGTGCGAAGAGCAGAATGGTGGGGTTTGTTATTTGCCACAAGGTGTGGGCACAAACAGGACAGTACAGCGCTCTGCTTGGTGCTGCGTTTCTAGTTGCTTACTGTGAAATGTAACATGGTTTTGTTGTGTAAATGGGGGGAGGAAAAGAGGAGGACGCTTGGATCCGTAATGGTAAGAAGTCTTTTCTTCTCTGGAACTGATTTTATGCCGATATCCTAAAACTGTCTGCACAGACTCCCCCCCCCCCCTTTTTTTTTTTTTTTTTTTAAAAACAGGTCTACCTCCATGGCCCCATCTGTTTGGGTGAATGCAGCATCTCTGTATTAGCCTTTTCCAGTACAGTGGTTGGAAACTCTTATTTAAACGGTGGCCAGGCCCCAGAAACCGTCAACATCTTCCTGCGAGGGCCGGCGGAGCAGTGCTCCAGAAGTTGGTTCTGCAGCGGGCAGGACAAGGTAGGACCCTGCTTTTCTATCTTGGTGTTTCCTGAGGCAGTCGCTCAAGGTGCTGGGCAGCTGCTCTGTGCCGAGCGCTGCCTGCCCTGTCCCGCCAGCCCCGCCGCGCGCGCGAGCCGCCTTGGGGCCGCCCGTGATCTGCTGCTGTCCTGGGGGCTGCTGCCCTTCCCGGTGAGGGTTTCAGGCCCCTGCCTGTTCCCTGGGGCTGGGGCAGCAGCCAAAGAGGCCCCTGAAAAGGGCAGGGAGGAGCCTTTGCCCCAGGGCGGGGGGCGGCAGAGCCCCCTCACCCCGGGGCGAGCAGCGCGGCTGGAGCACGAGACCTCGGGGCCCTTCTCTCGCGGCTAGAAAATACCATTTATTGTGGATATGAAAATAGCAATCTTGGTTAAGAGCAGAGATACAGCAATGGGTGCTACAGTACACGTGCTTCGATCGCCTACTGCTCAGCAGTAATTTACAGGATGGTGTTTTGCTTATTCTAAATTAACAAAATAGGTATCTGCGAGATTGTTTTTTAAATTTTTCCCTTCCAAACAAACCAATGCCATACAGCAGCAGGTACCATAAAATGTTATATTTGCAAAAGAAAACATTTATTTAAATAGTTTTCTTAGTATCAAGTGAAAATTGCATTAAAAAAAAAAGCTTACATTAATTCAATACCAATAAAAATAAAAATTAGCTTTGCTAGAATATAAAAACACTTCAAAACAAGCATATATAAATTAACTTAATTTGTAAACATAGAAAAAACAATTTTATGTGCATATAAAAATAAACATCTGACGCACTGTACAATAAGACATTATCCTTCATAGGCACTGGCATTGGCGATCAACAGGAGTCCCCCTAGATGTTGTTCCTACACGAACTGCTTTATCCCTAGTGCCATGTCCAAAATAAAAGGAAAAAAACAAAGCAATGAGCGGAGCCTTTGGGGATTGTATGAAGCCATCCCTGCCTTCCACCTGAAACCTGCGCCTGGCTGCAGGGCAGCAGCAGTGGGGACGGGGCCAACACACTGTGCTCTAATTTCTGCTTGGTTTTTCCCTAGGGATTTGAGGTGCTGCCGTGGTGGCTTTTCCGCTTCCCTTGCCCCAGGGGGCCATGCAGCTGAGTGGAGGCAGCGCCGCCTTCTGCGCCGCTGCTGGGAACTCCAGGCGGCTCCGGGCCCTTCCCCGCGGCTTCCAGGAGCAGGGAGCAGTCGGACAGGGCGCGTAACATCCCTAACCACGGTCACCAGAGCAGCCAAGGGGGGGAAACTGTAAGTAAAAGGCTCTATAATCTGTCTGGAGGAGCTGGTGCAAAAGGGAACCTTTGGGCTGGTCTACCTCAAAACTGCTATTTCTTTAAATATCAAAATAACTATTACATTTTCTTAGAAAATTCAATATATTAATGACAGAAAGCAATGTAGAAGTTGGAAGTTCAACAAGGGCAAAGATGCACTAAAGGTGGAAACTGGCCCCTGACTCAAAGGTGGGAATGCACCTGACTTCCCTGGATGCTGGGAAGATGCTTCTATTCCTGGCAGAGAGTAACTGGGCTAAAGCAGCAGCGGTGGCTCTAGGGCGGGTGCTGGAATACACAGCTTGCGCTTGACAGTCTAAAGTTCAAAGCTTCTTTGAACAATGGGGGCTTTTCTGAGCTGAGGGAAGAGTATGGTGACAGCTTTTATTGCTTAGATATTATATCAGAAGTGAGTCTTTGCTGTGGTGCAAAGAACTAAATTACTTAAGGGTCCTGGGTTGGTTCTGCTTTTGTCAAAGGCCTGATGGAAAAGCTACTATGGAAAAGTGCTGGAGCTCCTTTAGTTGCAGGATGCAAGTTCTAGAGACAAGCTGATTAGTCACTACTGCTCCCTATGAATGACCAGGTGTCCTTGTTTACAGCTGTCCATTTGGTTTCTTTATTTCAAAGCACCTAATTCTGCAGTGCAGTAAAACGGTGTGTCCTGAGGTGTGGTGTTTTCTGCTGTTGCTGCATAGTGTAGTGGCAGTCTGACTAAAATGCCTGCAGGGCGTCAGCCAACTATCAGGAAAACCTATCCAGGGTGGAGAATGACTAGTGGGTCTCATGCTGTTCCAACTGTCCCTGAAGGGAAGCCAGTGAACTCGGCGAGCTATCTACACTGTTGAGATTTCTGCCTTTCTCTCGACATTAGCAAGTGGCTCAGCATCGATAACGAAGAACTTGCAAAGGTCTCAGCTGCACTTACACTCACTCTTCCCAGTTGCTAATATATTTCATCACTGCCTTTTTCTCACCACTGTCTAAAGAGCCTCAGAGAGAGAAGGCTTCATCTTTAAAACATTTTAGAAACAGTTTGTAATACACCTCTGCATCTGAAGCTAGCTGTTATAAAGTGACATTTCTCTCTCCTCCCGCCTGGCTCAGGACACCTTCCTACCCTTGCTTCAGAGCTCTCATACGGCTCTCGGGACAGGAGCCCTTCACACTTGCTGGGTTTCTGTTGAGCCACGCTGGGTCAAACACAGGCTGGTGGTCCTGGGTCTGGCTTTGTAAGCTCCTGGGTCTGGCTTTGTAAGCTTCCAGGTCGGCAGCTGGGCTCCTCCGGTGAGCCTCAGCTGTGGCCGCCCTGGGAGCCAGCAGGGCTCTGCCTTGCAGGTGTTTGTGTCCCTGCCGCCGCGCCGCGCTGCAGGGAGCCAGCCCGGGGCCCGCGTTAGCCTGACAGACAGTGCGCGAGCCCAGCAACCACCAGGGGCTGCCGCCGGGCAAGCGCGCTCAGGAGCCTCGCAGGAATGGCTGGAGCACCAAGATCCACCTGCAGGAATTAGAAGAAAAGCACTTATTTAATATTTAGCTGTTATTATTTCTTTTAATATATACCCACTTTTGAACAAAACACTTGTGCAGCCTGCAACAGCTCTGCTTTGCAAGCACACGGTAAGCACAGAGGTAGCTTATAGCTGAAAATCTTTGTGACGGTGGTGGTTGGCATCTTTTGCTTCCCTGGTTTTTCAAAGGTTTGTGTATTTGATGGTATTTTCCCCAAGTATGATCCACACTCCCTTGGTGTTTGGGCTCAGTTGGATTAAATGTCAGTGGTTCATGGGCCAGATGTGTATGGTGCTACTGGAAGTGTATGCACACATGCTCCTTATACTGCATGATAAAATGCATACCCATTCTATATGTCTATCTATAAAAGGCATATGCCTAAGTAGAGCTTAACAGTAGTAGTAAAGGGGATTGTATCCTAGAAACGTACTCAATACACTGAAGTTTAAAGAAATTACATTTATTTTGAACGGTTATCTGGGAACTAAATATATTGTACATATAATGGTATTCTCTTATAGATATTCTTAGGTATTGGTTCTGTTGTCTCAGAGACAACCTCCTTTTCAAGAATCTGCAGTAAGTGGAATGCAGGATTTTCTCATTCTGAACTGGCATCCTCATTTTGATTCCTCTATCTATTAAATGTGTGGAATTAAAACATTTGTTACAGAAAGTGAGCTGTAAGCATTTCCCTGCATTCTGAAAATGACTGGCGCCAGAGCTGCTCTCCCCTTTCTCTCCTGCAGGATGAAAACGTCAGTCTTTAACTAACAATCTTTAATTGACTTTAACTTTTACAGCATTTACTGGCTCACCATATGAGAATCCAGCATATTAAAACTGCTAATAAATCCCTACTGTGGAGTCTGGAGGCCAAGGCAGCAGCTTTAGGTGCTGTAAAACTTGAGATGTATCCTTAAGCACATATGCTTATTACTCCTATTATTAATGCTTATTATTCTTGTTAGTAAGATTCTCTCTGCATTACTTTCTCCTTTATGTATCATCCTAGATAGTATTACCTCAAGGTATCTTACAACCAATTCACAATCCTTATGGGCCATAGCATGGGTACTATTTATTTTTTTCCACTTACCAGCTCTGAATTTGGAATTTGTAGCAAAAAGTGGCTAGACATCCTGCAAAAATCTCACCTGTGTCATGTAAATGACTCTGGTGACCTCTTTTCCATTCACTACATCAGGTTCCAGGATCCAGGCACTTGGCAAAACCTCCCCTCTCACTACTTCCTTGCAGGGCTGAGGCATGGAGGCATCGTAGACCGACTGGATTGCCAAGACAAACAAGTTCTCCTGCATGTGAGACAGTGCAAAGATGACAACTCAGGAATTTTTTTTTTGCTATGTATTGTATGTTTTCTGTGTTGCTACCACATTACTTATTAAATATTTTGTCCTAATCCTGCTTGTAACCAGAATATGCTGTAGCATTTGTTTTACTGCTGTTTTACTGTTTCATGGTTGTGATTTCTGAGGTACTTCCATACATCATTAAGTTGTTATAGCAGCATGGCTTTTTTTTCCTGTTGTTCTGCCCAATTATGAGCATGAACATTTCTTTCCCCTTCTCTTTTGTCCTTAAACCATGGACCTGAAACCAAGTCTTTCCCATTGCCTCAGAGAAAACATTTTACCTCTTTGGCTTCTACGGTAATGCAGCAGAAATCTCGGGGTTGCTTTAGGGAGCACAGGGAGGTGTCAGTCACTAAATATACTGGGGAGGAAAACAGAAAACAAAAGAGGAGAATTAGGCTTTGACAACTTTGCCTTGACATGAAACAAATGTTTTTAACTTTTTGATACATCTGCTCATGGGCATAATAAAGTTAATAAGCTATACAAATAATTTGTCCTAAGGATGCAACACTCTCAGGAGCCACTTGGAAGAATCTGGTTTGCCTTCACTCTGCACCGCAGCAGACAGTTGCGTTACAGATTATTCTTAAGCTGCAAATATTTTTTTTGAACAGAAATTCCTCTATTAAACAGAATTATGTATAGTCAAGCCTGAAACAGTGAAGTGAGATGAATCTAATCTTATCTTCAATCTTTTCTTCTTCGAGCTGAGCAGCTTATTCCTGTTGGCCAGGCCCTCGAGCTGCTACTCACCCAGCTGAATGTGGCTGGTTATCTTCTTGTGTAGTCGAGCTGTGCTGATAGTCCTGTCGTACAGCTGCCTTTTGCCAGGATCTCTCACCAGGCCCCACACGCTGGGAAGGTCCCTCTCTATCACTCCTGCTCCCAGAAAGCCATGTGTTGTTGCTGAAGGGAAGGCTTTGTAGTAAATCAGCACCTCTTTTTCAGTACATTGGTATCTGTCAAAGACAAATAAAAGGAACTGGAACAAGAGAGGTTTCAAGTACATAAAAAAGACTTTAAGTACCTGCCTTAAACTTACTTCCAACCAGCTGCTGCTTGGCACGTAAAGAGATTCCTCAGGTTATGGGAGCAGGCTGCCATTACCTTAGAAAACAAAGACAGAGGAACAGCAGCTAAGAGAAAGTTGCATGAACTGTAACTGCTGTTCAGCTGTGGCAGGCTGCTGCAGTACCTGCCAGCCAAAGCGGTGGGGGCCTTCACACACATAAAAAGAAAGGCAGAGGTAAAAAATGCACTTCTAAATGCTGTTGAACTAAATCTGTCTGATCTGAAACTAAAAAAAAAAAAAAAAAAAAAAAAAAAAAACTGTTTAAGTTTTTAAGTTTATCGATTATCCTGCTACCTCTACTGTCATATCCTGCCATGCACCAATGTAGGAAGAAGAACAATAGCAGAAAATACAATAAAAATTACATTTTTTAATTTAAGACTCAGATGAGCACTGAGTGCTAAAATGATAAAATTCCATTATTACATTCAGTGGGTCAGCAAGCTCCCACCCTCTTCTGCAACAGGTCACAGTTTCACCAGTTTCCTTTAGACAGCCTGAATAATGTGCAACAGTCTCTAGCCTGGCTTTCTTTTCCTTACTGTTTAAAATTGCTCAGTGGCTCCTCCTGCAGCTGGCAAATAAATAAATATCACTAGTGCAGAAGAACAGACCTTGTCCCACACGCTGCCTTGCTACAGCTTTCAGAGACAGGCAGAGGAGTAAGTGAAAATTGCTCATTCACTCACCTCAGTGGTAGCATTGGCCACAATATGTTTAGACAAATCTTGGTATCCTTTTGTGGACGAGGAGCTGACTGAAATAGTTAGTCCATGAGTGAACCTGCAGCTGATGCTACCGGAGATAAGGGGTGGCTGAGTTCTGCCTTCTGCAGGGGCATGAAAAGAAATCAAAAAGCAAACCAGCATGAAAATGGCACTGGAGAAAAACAGTACTCTTCAAGGCCAGGGCCGTGAACCCTCCACTGAAGCACTGAGTCAGCCTGACCCCTGCCAAGGAAAGACTAAGACCAGCTCTTGTCTGGACAATCTGTCTATTAGTGGCTACCCTGCAATTAGGTCTACCCTCACATTTTAAGGTTATTGCATAATATAATCAATTAACAACTATGACCAAATACTAGGAGAAGAACCAAGTCATCATTTCATTTTTCGGCAAATACTAACTAAACTCTAACCATATTTTTTTCTGAAGTCTCAACACCCTCAAAATACTTGAATTCAAATTAAATTTGGCTTTTCATAAATAGTAAGTCTCCCAAGGTTCTGAAATATGACTGCAACACAAGCAGATGTATGTTTTGTACTTACCAAATGCTGACTCCTTCTGTACTTCTTCTGATGTGTGAAGCTGACTGTTTCTAACAGCTGAGCGACCTCTGGCATCTCCTGACAGCTCTGCATTTCCAGATGAAACCTAATTTGAGATAGAGCAGAAGTGATTTGGTGTGAACTGGAAAAAATATATTATGTAACACAGTAAGTGAAATACTCGCAGCGAATCTGCTTTGTAAGGCTGGAAGCTTTTTGTTGTACAGCATGACTAATTTGCTTTCAGATGACTCTGAATAGTAAACCTACCTCGGGAAATTTGATGAAATAAGTTTGAGACATTTCCTTCAGGACTGTTCATGATCAGACACAAACTCTCCCACATCAACGTGTGCATCCCTCATGACTGGGCACCCTGACCAGCTTCTGGTTTACCACAGAAACAACCTTTTTGATGCTAAAACTTCTGACTGCTGGCACTAGTAACACTGATTGGCTTTTATAAATCAACTTTAAAATCATAAAGAAACAAAAGCCACACTGCCCTCTGCCATTACGCAGTGACGCTCCCCATGTAAGCCCTCCATGGTCCTCCAGTGACACAACTTGTCTTGCTGAGAGGCACCACAGAATATGAACCATCTCCGAAACGTTTCTGGATCTGTATTAGCCCTGTTGCTGCTGGGCCATCAGGAGGCATCAGTTTGAATGACCAAACAGCAGCAACTTGCTCCCACCTGTCCCTCGTGGCCGCCGAGTCTGCTTGCAGCGCATGTAGCCGTGTTACTGCTGTTGTAACCAGATGTTGGGCCAGAGGAAAGGCTGAGGCTGGAGTCTGTGCATAAAGTGCTTGTACTTACTAGAGTCTTCAGCCTGGCTTCTTCCTGTAACAAATGTCAGGAGATTAGAGGCCAAAATGCACCAAACCTACCTTACATAGCCCTGATCAAAGCAACACAGATAACAGCACTGCAAGGTCAAAGAGGGATCGGATAAAGCCTGACTTGGCTTTATCCGATCCTGTCAGTCCTGCACGTGCTGACAGTTTGTGACACTCACCTTCTGTAACTGAGAACACATCTGCTCCCGTATGCGCCTCTTCTCTTGCTCCGCCCGCTCCCGCAGCTTGTCCCGAGCTCGAGCAATTTCAGTCTTGGCTTCCTCTCGGGCCCGCTGATAGTCTCGGAGCAAGAGCTCAATCTCTGACGGGTGCTGAGCACCTCTTTTTGGTTCTTGAACTCTGTAAGGGGGAAAAAAACAGCATATAAGTTACTTGAAAGCAGGTAACTGGCCAAAGTATCACGATAAAATCCCTCTTTCAGTATAGAGGAGGAAAATTTTCAAGAACAGCAAGTGGTCACAGTAGCCTCCCAAAAGTTTCTCTTTGCTCCCTTGAGGTTTAGCCTTGGCAAAAGGATTCAGACTGCAAGTTCATGTCACTGAGATAACTCTAGCACTTGCACTGATGTCACATGTGGAATAACTGTGCTGGGAAAACACCTTTATACTCACCTCCTACAAAGGAATCAAAAGCCAATTTGGGGAAAAAGGGAGTGAAAAAAAAAATTCCACATGGTGATGGGTACAGCAAAACTCACTTTAATTTTTTTTTTTAATTATTTATTTAACATGATGCAACCTATAGCTTTTAAGTCAGAGAAGGAACAAGAAACAAGATTGATCTATAATCAGTCAAGATTGAATCCTTGGCTTTCCTTCTACATCACACACAGTACAAATGAGGCACTTACACTGTGAAAGAACTAGCCAGAAGGAAGAATGTAACAAACGATTTCCTGGTATCAGGCACATGTTTTCATCCTGAAAACACTTTTTATCCCAAAGGTTACCACTCTGCCTTCAGCATTAAGGAGAATAATTCCCCTGTTGCTCTGCTGACTCCAGCCACAGAAATGTCAGACAAGTCAGTCGAAATTGTACACGTGCAGCTACCACAAACACGGACACGTTCAGGGGAGATTTTCATTACACCTTACCTAGTATTTTCCACCACGTTTCTTCTCAGCTGTTGCAGATACTCTCGCCGCCTGCTGGGAAGATCCAAATCCCTCTGACTTGAATCCAGCATCTGCAACAGGCTCAGGTGCTTCTGAGGACTCAAACTTCGGCTTCTTCGGTACCTTTGCAGCCTTTTTTCTCTTTCCTTCCTCAGAGTTTCAATCGTCCTCATGTGTCTGTCACAGAAACGGGATTAGAGCTGCAAAGCGCACTCTGCAGAGTTGTAATTTCTGTTTTGTAAATTCCTTAAAAACTAAGTAGCTTTGTAATGTAAAAATGATAGGAATCTAAGAGTATACGCCCCCCACAAGCATTTCTTTAGTCAAATGGTGACAGATGATGCAAAAATTCTAAAACTCCCCTGCTTTTGTAACAGTAGGAAAAGCAAACAAAAGCAAACAAATGTTTTAAGGCTTAAAATGGTTGAGAGGCAAACTGAAAAAGGAGACTATCGTGGTTACTGATACAGTTATATATATATTTAGTTACATTATATTTCCCAAACTCAGTTCTGTCACCCAGTCACAACAAGGCAGCATCCTGATTTTCGTAATTCCTTCTGCATTTCTCTGGGTTTTTAAAATTGTGTCTTCTGCTGTTCATGTAGCCATGTTTATCCACAAAAGCAAGAATAAGACACTGCAATAAGTAGGATGGGCTAAGTATTTTACAGTGCAATAAATCAACAAGATACAGTCCCATGGAATACACTGCTAACAATTTTAGGAGTAGGGTGACACTTGATCTGAATGACACTGAATCTTGTGCCTTTCCCTTTCACCTTTAAGCAACCTGAAAATTTTGCCTTAGAAGCGTTGCTTAATTATGCAGAAAAAAAAAGCTTAAGGCTGCATCTCTTCAGATAGTGAGCGTTACCCGCACTAAAGGGACAGTCCACGAAGTGCTCTCCAAGTGCTGAACATGGCGCCCTCGCCCCACACACGCAACATGGCGCCCTCGCTCCAACCACGCAACATGGCGCCCTCGCTCCACACACGCAACATGGCGCCCTCACTCCAACCGCTCAACGTGACACCATTACCCTACCGGTCATAAAGCTGCTGCTGGATGGCGCCCGCGGCCAGGCCGTGTGCGACGCCGCCCCGCAGCGCCCTCAGCAGCGCGTCGGTCTCGCCGAGGCCGTAGTTGAGCTTAGCTTCGGCCAGCTCCACGCTGAGCGGCCGCTGCCGCAGCTCCAGCCGGACGCCGGACAGGACCTGCGCACGCTCCCGCCGCAGCCGCTCGATCTCCCTGTCTCTGCTTTCGCAGAGCTGGGATCTTCCTTCCCTTTCCGCGGCGCGGCTGCTTCCAGGCTTCGCTTCTGCCTGAGCTCGCAGATCGGCCGCGCTGCCACTCAAGCTGAGCAACGAAGACGGGGGGCTGCCCTTAACGCCGCACCAGTTGCTGAATTTATTGTGCACGGGTAAGTCACGGAGACTGGAGCTCCGGGGCCTGTGAGGCTTTGCAGTGGTCGGGTTTGTGTTCAGGAGGATTTCAGTGTCGCAGTCGCTTTCAGAGAGGCCATCTGCATTGTCACCTTGCAAGGAGGTCGGCGCATCGCTCACATCAGAGACGGCGAGGGGGCAGCTCTCTTCGTTTTTCCAAAAGAAATCATGCAATTGCAGAGAAGAGGCTTCTACCAGAGGCTCTGGGGATTCGCCAGCATTTGTCTTATCTGAACAAGTCGCTCTAATTTCTTGCTTAAAAAGTAAGTCAGAATTTGGAGGTGAGTAACTATGAATCAAAGCAGTGTCAGAATTACCCATGTACTTCTCTTGCCTGATGCCTCCTGAAGAGCCTCTCCCTCTCCTTGTCACATACATACAGCGAAGAGAACGTTCCAGTGGACTGTGGTCTCCAAGATCATTTGTTAACAATTCCCTGTGGCCGGAGACCTCTAGGGTACTGCTGGAGTGATAAAGTCGTTTAGCACAAATCGTAGTGTGGGTGTCCACCGTGAGCCTCTTCTGCTTTTGCTTCAAGTCTTTTGTGGCAGCTCTTCCTAAGAGCTCTTTGGCTTCAGCCTTGTCCGAGAAACTGCCAGACACCTGCCCGGTGTCCTTGCCGTCTCGGGAAGCGCTTGACTCGCTCTCTGTCTCTGTCTGGGAGAAGTTGTCCACCTGCGGCTCCGCACCGCTCCGCGCGCCCGCCCTCGGCTTTCTCTGCCCGTGAAGGGGGCTCGAAGGTCCCTTAGCAGAGCAGGGCGACTTGCCAAAAGCTACGCGGCTGCTGGGACTAGCACTAAGCGTAAGAATAGGGGAAGAGGCCCTGTCGACCAGCAGGGTGTTTTTGTGACAGAGCTTTCTTTCCGTGGGAATCTCCAGTTCGTCGGCACTTCGCTTATCCGGAGCATAGGACGCTGGAGACTGCAAGCTGCTGTTGGTAGTAGGGCTGCTAACTGCAGTGCACGAAGAGTCGCCCTGCGCGGAGCTCAGCAACGACGAGGCAGCGGTCGACACGCTGGTGCTGGCGAAGGCGACGCTCTGCTGCGCGTTGAACGTTCTGCGGAAGGCGGAGAGGGGAGTGGAGCTTCTCGTTAAGAGCGGCAGACGCATAAAGGAGACCTCCAGAAGGCTGTCAAGGCTGTCATGGAAATCAGGAGTGCTCGGGGTTCTCATCCCGGCTCTTTCTGGTGTCCCGTCTCTGAGAGGGAGCATTTCGTCCTTACTTTGGGGAATCTTCCCTACTGCATCCCCACCAATCCCTTTCAAATCAATGCTTCCTGCCCGAGTTGTCCTCAATTCATTTTCCATTTTTGCCTGTGCTAGTTCATCTAGCTGTTTGCTTTGAGGTTCTGAGATCTCCGTTTGAATGCCTATATCTGCTGTAGTTTGAGTGCAGCTATCTGATCGAGCAACCTTTCCTGCCTCCTCCATTCCCTTTGGCTTGATTTTGGCGTTCTGGTCGTTATCCATGATATTTTGCTGGGAGAGGTTTCCCAAGAGCTCAGAAGTGTTCTGGAGAAGCTGGGAAAGATGCATGGACAGGTTCTGCATGCTTGCCCAAGATGACGGTCGCTGCAATGAATCTTTGCTAGTTTCTTGCTTCCTTGCAGAAATATCCGTATAGCTTCTCTGGTGCCTCCTCTGTCTTCTGTACCTTCCTATAGTTGCTGTTTGTGTCCCCTGCTCACACATAATTCCTGGTGTTTTTCTGGAAGACCTATCTGACTCGGAAGGATACAGCAGCATGATTTCATCGACCTGCACTGAAGAGTTACCAGGCTGTGCAGAAGCATTATCAAAATCAGGAACATTATTTTCTAGATTGGTTTCCAGTATTTCACTGGATACATTGCTGTACTGCTTAGTGCTGTCACCTGGGTATGCAGATTCAAAGCCCCTTCTGATATTGTCCCATCCTTGAAGATCTTCAGTGCTGCTTAAAGTGCTTGACAGAACTTTTGCTGTCGCATACGAACTGAGATGAGAATGGAAAGGAGAATTTTGAGAATTCAATCCATTGTCCACACTGGAACATCTCATAACTTCACGATTATCCTGGTTTAAAGGACTCTGATTGCAAGAGACATCACTTGCGCTTCCAAAAACATACTGCTTCCAGCCAATCTTGCACAGTCCATCTTGTTGCCAGGGATGCACATATGGATTAATATCACTTGAACTAAAACGCATTGCATCCTTATTGTCTTGTAAGAACAAATCTGTTTTTTCTGACTGGTACCCAGCTTCTTCAGCCCTCCCTTCACTGCACTGAGCTACAGAACTACTCTTTGTAGGGATATTTGCTTCTGAACCTACAGAATGGTGAGCTATGGGCAGTAAAGATGACGGAGCACGAACAGTGCAGTCTTTTAAAGACCGGCTGCTTTGAGGTCTCTCTACAAAACTTTGCAAACTTTCTGGATTATAGTTTGCAGATTTCTTAGTTTGCTTCGTTCTCTGCTGAAATCTGGATTTAGATTTTACCTGCAGAAAATTCTTTGATTCTTGCTTTGAGTATCTTTCAATCCCATGAAGATCATCTTCAGTTGGCGACGGAGGCTCTACACTCATATTTAAATCTTGTAGTGATCTAAACACAGGATGTGATGAAAGATCTGCCCTACATGAAGCTTCCAAAGTATTTTCTACATCAGAGATCACTGCAATAGCTGGGGCTGACAGTCTATGACTTTGTAAACAAGGTCTCTGTTCGCTTTGTTTGGAGCTCTTCGTATTCTGTGCAGTAAAATATGGTCGTTTGCTCCTGAATTGTACTAATTGGGATTCTTGGTTTTCTGGTAAATTATGGTTTTCTAGTAAAAACTTTAAGGAGGTACTTTGATGATTCATTACAGGAAACTTCAGCCTTTCTGATTTCAAAGTGTTCTTCATGATAGCATCACCCATTCTTGGACAACTATCTGCATCATCAAGAGGGCTATCAACACTTGAACCTGTACTATTTTTGCAAAATAAAATCTCTCTTCTACCATCTACACTTGGTCTTCTCAGCTTATCACCTGTAGGCACAAACTGACAATTGCCTTGGAGGTCTACGGGCTTTTTGTCGAAACCAGAGGCAGTGTGATACAGTCTCCTAGGATCAGTGCTACTGCTGTACGTGGGACATGTCGGACTAGGTGAGCTGCACCTGTGTTCAGGATCCACAATAACACTTCTTGGATACAGATTTTGCAGCACTGCGATTTGTGGGCCTATTAATTCATTCAGAGAATTTGAAGATATCATAGTTGGCATTTCAGCAGGTTCTCTACTTACTGTTAATCTTTGTTCACTCTTTTCTGCAGAAGGTTCAATCTCAGTACTAGGATGCAAGTTTTCCTCATTTCTGGTAAGCACTTCTCTCATTTGTCCTTCTTTAATAAGAATTGCTCTTCCAGTATCCCAAAAAGGTAATGATGGTATTAAAAGAGAATCATCACTGTCCTGATCAAGTACTTTCTCTGAGCTTTTTCTGCAAAGTTTCTGTAGTGGAACTTTATCCCAGAGGTGCTGATCAACTGCTGGCTGGCTGTCAAATTGCTCACGATCACTGCTGGGTACATCTACTGCAGAATCTCCACATGAATCTCTGTCAGACACTGGATAATGCTGGTTTTCTTTTGCGAGAGAAAGTAAAATACTCCCCAAAGCAGGTGCTGGCTGATCAAAAACCACAGCCTTGTCAGACTGAGTGTCCTGCACTTGTAAAGTAGCAAATGGAGGAAGCTTCAAAGTACCTGTGTGCGAAACATCGTATGTGTCTGCTCCTCCACGGGCTGTGTCTGCAGCTAAAGAAGATTCCGAAAAGTCTGTTGAGGATGGGTAAATACCTTCTGGAACTGCTGCTGGAAAATCTCTTCCTTTTACAGTGTCCATGTCTGCATAACTAGAGGGGATTTGCTCTGTCAAATAACCATCTTGAATTGAGTCCTCAAGCTGACTAAACAGTGGAGATTTTGAGTGACGCAGTAAATTTGCAGTGTCAAAAGCATTGATGTTGTTGGAGCTTTGAAACAAAGCATCAGTTGGAAGATCTTCTGCAGAGTACAATGGAAGAGACTTTGATTCTTTACTGCAAATCTGCCCCAGGCTTTGAAAAGCAGGCAAGGCTGATTCAGGTACAGTCACACGAGAAGCACAAGGGTAGTGCTCCGGGTACTCATGCATTTTATTTTCTCTTTCACCATCGCAATTCTGGGAGGAATCTTTACTTGCTTCCCCCTTTTGACCTGTTCTCACAACATCTTCAGAGAGTTTATTATTCTGAGCAACTGTGACCTCTGTAAGAGCTGAATTATTTTTCCTTTCATCATCTTTTTGATTCAGACAGCAAACATCAGAAAAAGGTACAGATACACTTAAATCAGTTGATTCACTTTCAAAGTACTTTGCTTTTTCAACGAGAACACCATCACTTTTACATTTGTCTCTGTTGCTGCTGATTAAAATATCTGCAAATGGAAGTGGGCTTTTCGGATGACCAGCAGAACATTCAGATGTGTAAGGATTCCTATTATAATTTAGAAGCTCTTCACTGAGTGCATCTTCCCCTGGGGACTTGTCTTGGCTTTCCGAAAGTGCTGAAGTATCCTCAGAAACGGAGCTCTCTGGACAGTCTCCACAGCCCTCTTCAGAAATCCCATGTTCCTGCAGGTCTTCAGGCTCACTCCGATATCCAACTACATCAGGAAGCCTTGCATTATCTTCACTATTGCTTGTTATAGTGTAGTTTGTGTTTAGACATTTCTCCTCGCCACATTGTGATGAACTCCATAAGTGAACTTCTTTCTGAGCTGTATTAATACTTGGAAACCTTCTCTGAGAAGAGCTGTCTAGTAAATCATGCTTGCTTTCTTTCCTCATCTCTCCCATCATTTCTTTCCCTGAAGAAGAAAGCAGGTTTGAATTATCCAAGGCCAGTGAATAAGGCATAAGGGCACTCTTCTTCTCTTGGGCTCTGTCTTCTGCAGAATTAAAATGGTCTTTTGACAGCTTGTTCACCATGAAATCTGCACTATGCTCTTCATTAGAGCTGTTAGCATCCTGAATCCTATCTTCACAAGAACGCATTTTTCCCAAGGAAAACAATTTTCCTTCTGACCCTTGCTTAAGTGCAACAGTTACAGGTTCATAACATCCCATACTATATGAGGTAGCAGAGATGTCCTTCTCATCCTTCTCATCGAGGGGCTGCTCAGATGCAGCAGAATCAGGTGCACCATTAAAGGAACTTTTCTCCCGTCTGTCCAGGGTGATCGTTGTCTGTGGGAAAGCAGCACTTTTACTTTGTATTTTATGAGAACGTTGTTCATCTACTCCCTTTTTGTCAGCTGTACCAGGTGCATCGACACAGCCCTCATTCTCCATCAGGGTTTCATAATAAGGCAGAACAGCTCCAGCCCCAGCACTGCCATCAGCCGGTTTCCTCTGTCCTGTCAATGCGGTGGAAACGTCTTGAGCAAGACAGGAATCGTCACTTACTCCAAGGCTTAAAGGATGATTTAGAGGTTGGCACAGAGAGTCTTTAAGTGAATCTTCTGGATTTTTTTCCATAGGTTTTTGTGGCTTGTTGGTGCTTTCATTACTTCTAGAGAAGCTTGTAGACATCCATTGGCTGTTTCTTAAGATTTCGTTTAATCTACTGTTATCTTCTGCGAGTTGGCAGCTGTCTTTGCTTCCGGGGAACAGCTCACTCAGGTTTTGTAGAACTATCACTTCTACCTCCTCTGCCTCTTCAATATACATCTGCTCTTCTCTGTCTGCTTTGACTTCTTGCTCTTCATTTACTAAATGCCCTTTTTCCTTCTCCTCAACTCTGGAGCCTTTTGGATCCAATTCCCAAATACCAGGTCTACTTCTAACAGTATTTTCTAAAGGGATGTCCTCAGTGTATTCCATAGCACGACCCATGTACACTTGGTTGTCCTCTTTAACACAGAAACTTTTAGATTCTTCTTCAATTCTGCTTAGGTCTATTCCAGTACTATCATCAACTGAACAGTCCTCTACCTTCATGTCTTTCATCATTGTGTTTTTTACATCCATAACGGAGTCCCCTGAGCCACTATCTTCACTCATTTCAATACTATCTTCATTCGTTTCAGTATGGTCATGGTAATCCTGTACAAACCCTGAATCGTCGATTGACAGAGTGTTTTGCTCTAGTCCCGAAGCTGTCAGGTATTTTTCAGGGAGCTCAAACGGATTTAAAATTTCATCATTCCTCTCATGGTGCATCTGATGTGCAGCTGGGATCTCTTCAGTACAGAAAACATTTTCAGCTGTGCCTATGTCCTCTTGCCTGGTAACAAGCGGCCCCTCTGTGTTCGTCATGATAGTTTGCTCTTCCCTTCCAGGCACTTCATATCCATGAGCTTTGCTTTCTTGATGCAAGTTTTCATGGGCCAAGCAATCTTGTATGCAGGGCTCAGTTAAATTGCTAGAACTTGCCTGTTTTTCAGTTTCGTTTTTTTCTGAAGTATTTCCTTGCTTGCCTGTCACTGTTACTGTTGCAGCTATGTCCTCTGTATCAAACACCTCCAGTGCTGTGTGTCTTTGTAAAAGCCCCTCACAAGCATCAAAGAAGTTTGAACTATTTTGACTAAAATTCTGGCAGAAGTTCCCTGTCTGAAGACAACTATCAGACCACACAACTGCTTTGGGCTCCTGAGTGTGCTCCATGCCAGCGCTTGCTGCCTGGGCTTCCTCTGCCCCTTCACGTGCTGCTGTCGGGCACAGGTTTCTATAAAACTCATCCTGAATTTCCCAAGCTACAACATCAGGAGGTTTCTTGGAATTCCGAGACAGGCTGCCTTTAAAATGTCCTCTATTATCCTCAGTTTCACTTTGGACTTTGACTACTGGGAAGTCATTTAAACTTCCCATCTGCCTGGATTTACTTTCCAGTGTATTTTCTTCTAATTTGATTACAGTATTGATCAATTTGGCCATTTCTTCTTTCGTATTCTGGTAAGAAATCATAGTTTCTTCAGTATTGTTTAAAATCTTGGATTCTTCATTGTTTAAAATCTTGGATTTTTCATTCATATAAGGATTCTCCTCTCTGAACACAGCAGCTGATGAATCTGTGTTGTATTCAAATACTTTTCCTGATTCTGACTCTGAGCTGACAAGCAAAATATTCTCTGCACAATTCCTTTCATATAGGATTTCTTTCTCTTCTCCCGAGTCAAATAAAGGTTTGCTCTGAATTTCTGTTTCCAGCAGACCAGTTGCATTAAATTCCACAGAAACCTCAGTCTTAGGCACACTGTTGTTCTGCCCTGTTGACTGTGAACAGCACGTTGTGCAAAGGCAGTTAGACTGTACTCCAGAACAACTCTCTGGGGCACTAACTTCCACAGACAGACTAGATCTGTCATCACAGTTTCCTTTCACTACTGTGACATGCTCCAATGGTTCATCATATTTTTCAGTCTCAGAAGCACTTTGAGGAAGATCAGCTTTCCCTGCTACCTGGTATAATATGCCCAAATTGGGTTCTGGGAGCAAATTATTTGCACTTTCACAAAGAGCAGTAGGGAAGGCCTCAGGGCCTTCCCCGTTTGGGCTCACCATGAGGTAACTAACTTCATTGGCCACCAGGTTTTCGTATTTGGATGAAAGTTCTTCCTGAACTACAGGCTGAGAACTCAAGATACTCTGTTCTTTACTTTCACTGCTTTCTTCTCGTATGACATCAGTACACAGAGAAGAATTCTCTGAAATATGCTGGGATAAGCAACGTGCAGGACTGCCTGTTAGTGAACATTCATGGGGATAACCTTCTGAAACAATTTTGCTTTGAAATTCATAATGATTTAATGAAGACAAGTCTTCACCCCTTGCTTTGTATTCTTCACTGTCGCTGAACGAAGGCATCTCTGAGACAACCTCTGCCAGGCTGTCTGTGCTTGTTTTCATGCAGATTATGTCTTTTTGAGATATTGCTATTGGTGTTGCAGACTGGTCATAACTTGCACTGCGAGCAAAAACTGAAGGGCTACACTGGTAGGTTACCTCCTCCGAGGAAAAGTCTGTGTCTGATGTAATTTCTTCTGCAGACATTTGTTCACAACTCATATCTTGCCCCGTTTCCAGAGTGCTTTCCCCAGTCCTGAGGAGACCTACTGTAACAGCCGAGTCTGGCCCCTGGCCAAGCACTGCCGGGAGCAGGCGACTGCCTACTGCATAGCAGGTCTTGTTTCTTGTGTCATTGAGAAAGAAGCCCTCATCACTACATGGTGGGATTTCTCTTTGTGGAAAGAGCTGCTCGTGGTTTCCAAATTTTGCTTGTTTTATTAGAGATGATGGTGGTGAGGCCACATTAAGAGCAAGTTCTGTAGAATATCCAGTGGTGGGAGCACAGATAGGTGCACTTCTGGTGTCTGTTATCCTTGATTCTGCCATCAAGTTATCACAGTCATCATCTAGGCCATCTTTTTCCGCAGTTCCAAGGAAATCATCTTCTAAATCTGCATTTACATGGCCGCTTCTCTGCTCCAAAACGTGGACAGGCAACACAGACGTAGAAGAGGCTTTGTTCAGATCATCTTTTGGCAGCTCTGGATGAGTTGTGGGGAGGGAATCTTCTTTTGCAGATACAGGTAACAAACAGTCAGCTGGGGAGGTGCTTTCCAAGCATGTAAACGTTTGTGTGCATTCAGTGGTAGATCTGTAAGCAGGCAATTCATTCAGTTGTTCATGTTCAGGATGAGTTGACCTTGAATGTCCACAATAATCAGGTTTTGCTGAAATAGGAAGAAAAGAGGAACCTGGTCCTACTGAACTAACAAATGAGGATACTACATCTTGAGATCCCAAGAAAGCATTCCTATTGCAATGTGCCCATCCTTTAAGAACCCTATTTAATGTTCCATTTTCAGAAACTCTGCTCACAACTGCTCTTTTTTCAGTTTCAGGTAAAGGTACTTCTGATGTAACAGAGGAGAAGATCGAGTTTAAATGAGTAATTCTGTTTATCTGCTTCGAGCCAGAAACAAAAGACACTTCAGCAGCTGACTGCTTCAGATCATCTTTCTTCACCCAACCCTGTGGTTTGCTCACTGGGCATGGACGAGCATCTTGAAATTCCAGATTTTCATGGGAAGAAGGTACTGTTATTCTGGGGCTGCTGATTTCACCCTTTGAGTCACGTGAAGGCCAAGCATCAGTAGTAAGCAATGGGTTTCCACTTGTGTAATACAATCTTTTACTGAGAGACCTTTCTTGTTCTGCAAAAGAGACCTTTGTGTCCTTTGGTAACTGCTTGAAGGCGTTACTGGAAGCAGGCTGTGCCTCAGTACCCAAATAAAAAGAACCGCTCAGCTTCAGATCATAACTTGGGGCTTCTGTACCTCTGTCACAGCTCTTGAGTTCATGGTCTTCCTCAGTGTGTATGGCTGCAGGCCCAGGAGCCTGTAACTTCCAAAAAATCTCGGCTGGTACTTCATCAGACGAATCAGATTTGGATTCTTCTATCAGCTCTTCTCCATCAGCCAGGCTGTCCAGAGAAAAACTTCTCTCAGCTTTTCCTAATCTCCTGCGTGATGCACATGATGTCACCAAAGATGAAACGTGATGATCTGGTCTGCTTTGACAAAGCTTAGCTGTCTCGTTGGGGGTCTTTAGCTTGTGAAATCGGCTTTTATTTTGCTTTTTGGCTTTATGTTCCTTTTCCACCAGAGAGTCTTGGGACATTTGACTGTCATCACTCTCAGAATCTTCTGGATTGGTGAGACATTTATTCCTGTCAAAATCTTCCTGTCTTAGTTTCTCTGTGAAGGCCTTTGCATAAGCACAGGAGAGAGAATCTACAGAGTAGGAACTGTCGGTATCAGAGATCTCATTTTCATCATTCTCTTGCCAGTTTGCTAGCACATCTGCCACCACTTTGGACACTCCAGCATTCAACATCTCGGCACTGTGCCATTTTTTTTCAACATAACAAAGTGGTGCCTGTGTGTTTATCTTAGTGAGATTTCCAACTGATGCTGCTGCCATCAGAAATTCCTGCTGTTTCTCACAGCTTGGCAAGGCTGAGCTTGGTGCTCTCTTCAAACTCTTGGCTGTTTGGTTTAGATGTGCTGACCGTAGCTTTGCAAACACTTCTGTTTTCTCCGTTTCTTTAGGAAAGTTTTCTGAAGGTGAATCATGCCCTTTTGCATCAATATCCACTCTGTTCTTTTTATCGGATACCCGAGCTCTCTCTTGTTCTAGACATCTGCTTACAGCCTGACTTAAATCTCCCAACACCTTTGCTTTTGCCATTCTTGTTCCTGAAATGAAGGTTTCAGGTTCATCTTTCTTTTTAAAATGATCAGGAGAGCAACTTCTGGAGGGCTGGTTTTGAGATTCACTTTCCCCTGGGCTGTCATCCAACTTTGGCATTTTTTGATCAATTTTGTTAATATGAGCCATGATAGCTGTATCACTAGAGACCTTATCTGTTCCTTTTCTATTTCCAAATGAGGATGTCTTTTGTTTTTCACTTAGCTGCCTCTGGACTGGAAAGATGACACCTTTTTCATCATTAAGGTCATCTCTTCCAGAAACATCTTTATCTTTTCTGCAAAGACATTTTACACATGACAGCGTCCCTGATGGGCTGCCTTCACAGCATCGAGCAGTGTGTGCTGAGGTAGGTAACTCTGAGGCAGTTCCCCTCTTCAACAAACACCTGGGTGGAAAAAAAAGAAGAAAAAGTCTAATCCTCTCTCGAATAATGCACTTTACAATGCTTCCATCCCAGTCATGTCTTGCAATTAAGAATAATGACACACAAAGCCACTATCTTAATGCCTCTCAAAAGCAAATTTAGCAGAGAACAACTAAAAATATATATATATTAATCATACCAATAGGTTCTAAAACATTCTACATGACACAAATGTATCTAAAATGTATCACATTTTATGTGACACAAATGAACCACTTGATGCTAAAATACAGAGATGGATATTCTACGTAGCTGCAAAAGTTAGTTAAAAACAGGGGATAGCTCTAAGTCAAATAAATCCATTTAGAAGAACTCAGCTTCTCCTCTGCTCTTCATGCTGAGGTAGGCACATTAGCACCTCATACACTTAGCAGTGTATTTAGCTTGAGAAAGGCTGGACAGCCTCAGAGTCGCAGCCAGAATCATCCTACATATATAAAAACTCTAAGGGAAGTTTGATCATAAACAGGATAAGGTGCAGAAGTTAGTACTTAACAACAGTCTGAACAAGGTGAGAACAGAAAGTTAAACGAGTTCTAGAAAACATTTACACAGAGGTAAAGTGTGTGGAAATGCTTGACAAAGGGAAGAAAAAGCACTGAGAAAGATCACGTCCAGGGCTAAGCTGGGACTGCACAGTACACATCCTAGCAAAGGGGATAAAGCTCCAGTGTGACATACAATATGATAAGATTGTTGACATCACAAGTTTAAGGATTGCTTCAGTAAATTGAAATGTATTCTGGGGCTTATAGGTGGCCAGTGAAAGTAGCTTGAACATAAATTTCTTTTAAAAAGTGCCAGAGGAGTCTGTTGATGTTACCTCACCTGGGTAGAAGGGGCAGCTGGGGGTTACAGAGCGAATGTCGCCTCCGTGGCGAGGAACTCGAACCCAGCGGCTTCCTTTGCTTTCCCAGCTGATGATCCCAAGAGGCTACTGCAATATGTTGGTTCAGGACCTGGGCTTCTTTCACACTGTCTTCGTTTAGCCAGCAGCTGGCCTCCAACTGCTCCAGGTTCTGCTTGGCCTCCAGCAGCTTCTGCTTCTTGACTATCCTTTCCAGCTGGAACTTGACCTTCTTCCGCCGTATGCTTCTTTCTGCCTTTTTCAAGGAGTATCTTCGCAGGAGCTCCAGCTGCACCACTCTCTTCTGGCTCTGCTCTAGCAAGGAGGGGCAGATTCCCAATCGTGCAGCACTCGGGGCCTCGGCCTCGGATTCTGTTTGCACTGCTGACTCCCGCTGCTGCTGCTGCAGGGCAGCCAGGCGGCTGTTCTCTTCTAAAAGCCACTGCTGGTCTGTGAACAAAAGGATTGAAAGAAAGTAAGAATCGGGGGAAGAGTGCTGGTTTGGGTCTTAATTTAATCAAATTAATTAAATTTAATTACATTCCTTAATTTTGAGAGGCAATTTGAGAAAAATTCTATGCAGTAGAGTGAAGTCTTGACAAGACACTAAGGAAAAAATTGCATCACTACTGGATGTTACCAAAAGCCTTTCCATTGGGATAAGTACTCGGTCCACTGCAAGAAGGCAGGAGGAGCTCTGAGGGCTAAAGGAAACTGGCGGACAGACCTTGTCTGTTGGTAAAGAGTGCAACACATTCCACACAGATATCAAGTGACACACACAATTTCCCATAGATTATACTCAAACATCATCTCAATTTTGTTCTTAAAGTATTTAAAGGGCCTGAGTTCAATTCTGTGCCCTTTCAGGCACAGGGTATATATTCACATTAAAGCATGTGGCTTTTTACTCTGAAATATGTTACTACTTCTACATTAACTACTGTATAGTCACTTTAAGGTTTGCATGTGTTACTTAGAAAATTAATGTATGTGTATTGAGCTATCAAGGGAACCAGAAGAGCATGTCTCACAGAGGTGAACAAAGCCTCTCTAATAGGAAACTGAATTTCCCAAGCATGCTGCCAAGCCTTCAGCTGGTATATTCTTACACTTTAAGTGAAAATATATACATTTCAGCAATCTTAAAAAGCTGCTGACCTCTCATTTTAACATCTGAGTGTTTTCTTCTTTAGAAGGTGTAATTTGACTGAACCAGCAAAGTAAGTACTTGCAAAGATTTCTCTCTTGCTTAATTCAGCCTGCTGAAAACAAGGGGAACTTAAGCCAGGCTAAGGGAATTTGCATTCAGCCCAAAAAAAAACAGCGGGCTCTGTGCTTGCTTTTACCAGCGGCAAATTCAGTAAAGCAGCCCAAGACCTGAAGGCTCAACCCCTCCTTCCTCAAAATGGGACGTGCATTGCTTCCAGGGACACAAAACCAAACACCAAGTGGTATCTGGCTGAGGTAGAGCAACAATCACAACATTTGCCACCTACTGTAACTACATCTCTCCAACAAGCAGCTGCCAAAACAGATTGATCAAAAGCCACATCTCCTGCACACGAGCACCGTATCACATAATGTCCTGGCATGTGATAAATCAAGTGCCCTCATAGCAACTATGCAGGTAAAACCAATACCTTTACCTAGCAGGATCAACATATCCAAACAAGGATATGCATAGTGCATATATATATAATATATATATATCATAAAATCATCACTCTACTTGCTAAGGTGAGTTAGCATCTCCTTGTACTAGATCACTTTATTTCATGCAGGAGATGTGCTTAGTTGCTTTTTAGGGTGCCCTGGTTTCAATCTCAGATAGGATGCACTGTAACAGCCAAAACCAGGGATTACCAAGTGGATCACCGGTAGCACATTATATCCAATGGCCTGGACACAATCTCCTGAAGAAGCAGATTTACTCAATTTTATGCTACTATAAATAGTTACATAGCGAGTTGCACAGAAAGAATCTATAGCTGACAACAATGTAAAAATCACAGGCAAGGCTCCTCCGTAAGCAGCCTATTTCTCAAGGACATAAGCTTTTCGAAGCACTTTCATCTTCCCAACGGCAGCACTTTTTTGGCTGGGTTCAGCTTCAATCTGCAGTGCTTTATTGAGGAACTAACTTTACATATTAAGGAGGTTAGGAAATAAGAGGTATTTAAGCTGATGGTAAGAATGAGGGCTTCTTGCAGCTTTATATAGGGCAGCTGAGCTGCAAGAGAGGACTTTGGAGCCATGGAAGTTTCTGTAATATGCAAAGTGTAATGATCAGTAGTGCACGGGTGCAGCTGGGAGGCTACTGATCTTGCTGAACATCGCTAGCAATCCCTGCTGCAAGAAGTCTCCTGCCTCGGTTGCACCGGTGTACACAGGCACAGAGCCTGCTGTGATTACAGCTCCATGGGTAAATGGGAAGCATTTTAGTCACGATCAGTTTTTTTCTTGATAACATCTCTAGCTTTCACATGGCAAACAGTTTTCTCAACTCTTTATCTTGAGATCTGCCCTCTTTTATGTGTTTCTAGCAAGTGGGATATTGGGCAGAGGATGGCCTCTCTGACAGAGCTCTGAGGTTCTAATTAAGCCATTCAAATGGTCGCCTGCATCAGACCCGAGAAACAGCAGCAGCAGAAAAGGCAAGAGCATTCTGGTGAGCTGCCAGCTAAGGATTTATACTTGGCTGACAAAAGCTGCCTGCCTGGCTGAGCTTCTCATGAACACAGCTGAAACAGCAGAACTGGATAAGAGCAGAAGACAAGTTCAGAGTCACGGAATAAAGGTGCTTTGGGGAAGCTTTCCTGGTTCCCTGGACTACCTACAGGGCCTGCTTCTCCCTCTGCTACATCCCATCTCTACAGTTTTCCCTTGAGTCTCTTCCTTGTGGCTAGAATAAATGAAAGATGACCCACCATATGAATTTGGTCTGACAAACCTCCAAAACTTCTCACAGGCATCTTCCTCTTCCAGGAACCAAAAGCACACAGTCCTATGCAATTATTTGTCCTAGGACCACCATTTTCAGAGGGGAATTCATTAAAAGCTTGATGTAAGGACTGTCTGTGCTACCTTCCAGGCAATATCATTAATGAAACACGTAAGACACATGTCACCTCCACGTGCCAGCTGTCTCGGAGCCAACCCTCAGCACTCACCAGCAAAGCAGACTGCACTGTAAAGGCAGCCCCTTATCCCTGTCTATCAAAGCCTGGCAGCTGCTCTCAAGGGCAAGGGAAAATGCAAGTAATAAAGCAATAAACTAATAAATAAATAAATAATATATAATTATATTTTTATAATATATAATTATAATAAATAAATAAGTGATAAATAAATAAATAATGAAGCAATAAAGTAATAAGCAGTAATGAAAGTTCCACCATATAAAGCATAAGCAGGACAAAACCACCAAGGGTAATGAAAAAAAGGAAGAGAGAGAGGGGAGGAGGTAGGCACCCACTTTCTCGGATCTGCTGGTTGATGAGAGCTTGGTCGTTTTCTAGTTCCCGCTCTGCTTTGATCTGTCCCGCCAGGATCTGCTGCTTCAACTCCTCGACGTAGAACTGCTGCCGCTGAATTTGTTGCCTGTGGAAAGCTTCCTGCTCTCTCAGTTTCTGCTGGTACTCTTCATGCACAGCATCTATCGCTCTGCTGTTAGAAATGGTGTTGGTGAATTTAAACTAGAATAAGTTACTAAATGTTTGTAATAAAACAGTCATCTTACTGGATACAGATATACAAAATCAAAACTATTGCCTTGTCCAGCAGGAGAACATGATGCCAAAAAATGGCTATGGGAGCATAGCTGTGCATGTGCATGTCACAGGAGGGCACAACTCCACACGTGTCAGAAAAATCATGGACTTTCTCACAATGAAGCAGAAAAATTGCATCGCCAGAAAGATCACAGCAAGAGAACTCAGAACTTTTATCCTCTGTCATTTTGCTGTAGATCTTTGTGTATTATTTTTTACAGTAATCATTTCATTTTATTCTCATTATATAGGAGGTGCTTCACCTAAGTACCTCAAAGTTCTTCGTAGAAATAACAGATATTCTTCCCTTTAAGATCAAAAATATTTGACCTGGAATAGGCTACAGGAATGGCTGAGATTACACTGGACGTCTGTGGCAGTACCAAGAGAAAAAGAAAAGCTATCTCAATAAGTACCTCTTAAAAGTTTTCTATCCCTTTATACTACTCTCTTACCCAATTCTCTGCCAGATGCCACCACTACATTAAGTTACTGCTTTTATATTTGAAGTAGAATTACAATCAGAGAAGTGACTAACTTGTGAAAAACTTGCTCAAAATCCCTTTGGCAAGTTTGTTTCCCAACCATGCACCAAAAATTACACACACACATGCCCTTTGAAACAATCAAACTTGTCTTAGCTTAGAAATAAGCTTAATACTTAGTCTTAGTTTAGTAGAACCAGTACCCACTGGTAGTACTGGCTGCCCACTGACACTCTGGAAAAGTTATACTCCATCCTTCTGCATAACAGCAAATCCTTAAAGTTACATTTATGGAGGTGATGCATGATGTAAGCTTGCCTTTTCTAAACAACTTGTTGCATGTAACCTCAACAAATTACATTTTTAAGTCTTGATTTTTTTAATGTTTTTCTAATGAATTAAAAAGCATATTGAAGTATATTCATTATTCTTTTAAAGAGAAGAAAGACATCAAAGCCTTAGAGAGCCCCTGAAGCTATAAAGAAAACGAAAATATACTTTTAAAGGGAATGCTGTGGCCATTACATGTTCTTGGTAAAATCACTCCAGAGGCCGCCTTCAAAAGCTTGTGAAGAGCATTTGGCCTTTGCCACACAGACAAGCATCAGATGCTTGAAAGATGCAGGTACATTTATCCAAAAGGGCTGAGGAAGATTTGTTAAACTTATCAGATGCCCAAACAGTCCAGTATTAGAAGAGCTGATTTATCATGATCAGCAATATTCCACTAGACCCGAGCAAACTCAACAAGTCAACACCAGTTGACACAGGCTGACAAAAAACAGAGCTTGATAATAAAACACTAAATAGAGAAACCTTGTTCTGCAACTGTTTTCCAAAACTAGATAGAATAAGATTCCTTTTTAAAAAATCTCTTACGTTATTCCTGTTACTTTTTGCTTGTCCATAAACCCACCTAGAGTATTTTAAACTGCTTTCAAAACTGAAAACTGAATCATTTAGGCCTATGAAATAATTTGAGGTTGTATTTCAACACCAAGACCTCAAGACGCTCTGCAGAGGTATTTAGGTAACATCTGTGGGATGTGGGAGAGGGAAAGCCCCAAAGCCCATTCCCAACGGGCACATTTGTGTGCACACGAGCACGGTGCTGGGCTGCCCACGCTCCTGCATCCCCGGGCTTCCTAAGGACAAGGAGCACAGAGGCAGAGCTGCACCGTGCTCGTAACCTGGCGTAAGAGAAATACGTCCTACTATTACTTATGCTGGGATGATGCAGTTGGTTGGTATGAATATCTCATAAGTTAAAGCTTTACTGCAAAAGTAGGTGGATTGCTTTACCATCGGTGAAAGTATATATATTAGTTGCTGTTTAGCTGCTATTTCAGTGTCTTTGCCTCATTTCCTCACTGTAATATTGCCAAAAAAGCAAGTAAATAAAATACCCCCAATGCAGCAGTGAAAACATGTTCAAATTCCTGAATATACAGACTGAACACTAGACAGTCTTTTACAATGTCTTCTCTTAAAAATGCTTTTCTCAAGTGGAACAAAAGATAATGAAAATGCATGCACTGCCACTTACATAACACAGGTATGGCAGAAGATGGATTTTTTTTTTTTTAACTGATGGTGAGACTACAGCTCTTGAAAATAAAATGCCTGGCTGCTTTGGGCTTGAGATATAGACCTGCCTCTCTCCGACACTGTTAAAACTAAGAACATGAATTCAGAATATTTCTCTTGCACTTTTGAACACATCACGTCAAGTCAACACACGCTGCTGGCTCATGAAAATAACACCATAAACTGAACTGAAATATGACGTGACAACAATCCTAAAAGCCTGGTAGCTGAATCCCCAAATAGACAATTGATATTTACCACTTTGTAAAATACATATTTGAATAACTAATTAAAGCAAATCCAAATATCATTACTGTAAGAAAAAACAAACACACATAATCCTATTCTGAAATAGGTAGGGGAGAACATTCATTTTCTTCTTCTAAAACATGTCTTAAACAAGATGCACTAGTAAGATTTAGACTTGAAATGCAGGAATCCTGTGGTGCAGGAATGAAGCACAGCCCCATTCCTGCTCTTGCTGCGTTCCTTCCTTCCCCATAAACAACCTGCGCTCGGTGCAGTTCTAGCAGGAAATAAAACACAACCACCACTGGACAGACATAACAAAATCGGCTTCATTTCTGCAGCTAGCAACACTTTTCTCATACCTAAAAGCTCAGTTTCACAGGACTAGCATTCCGTGGCATGCAGCACATGAAAAGGCGAGCAAAATCCGTAGGAAAGAGATAATCCTGAGGAGAATTTCTTAAGTACATGCAGATTCCTAGGTGCAGCAAATGCAGCAAGAAGTGTCAACAGTTTCCCCTCCCGCAATTAAACAGTGAGCAAAACGACAACGGCAAGAAGGCACCAACCTTAAACTTAATATGACAACAAATCGCTGTGAAAAATCTCCCCTGCGGGCCGATTCTGCTGGGCCGGCTCCTCCAGCTCCCCGTCCTCGGCACGAAGTTTGGGCGCCGCGCGAGCCATTGGCGGCGGCCGCGGCCGGCCGTGGCGCGCGGCCTGCGCTGCCGCCCGCGCCGCTGGTGCAGAGCGCGGCGGCCGCTACCGCAGCGCGCAGCTCGCAGTCACTATGGCAGCGCGCCGGGGCCGCCCTGCGAGCGGCACCGCCGAGCCGCTCACAGGGCAAGGGTAACAAGGAAAATCCGCGCTCAAGGCGGAAAATCCCCCGTTTTCTCAAGTATATCCTCAGGCAGGGAGGTTGGCGTCCTCTTTCTTCTGCCTGCCTGTGCTCCAGTCCCGCTTTACCGAGGGTTTGTTCCGGGAGAGGGAGAGTTAACAGCGAAGCAGCGCAGGAGATTCTGGCAAGCCGTCCTGCATGTCCGGAGCAACCCTGAGGCCGGGCTAGGAACCCCGGCACCCATCTACGCTTCCCGCCGCCGCATCCCCACACGCATCCGATGTGGGGCCGGTGCGGAGCAGCCCGAGCGTCTCAGCTCCCGCAGTGCAGGACGTGCCCCTCTCAGGACGTGCCCCTCTCCAAGCTCTCCCTTCTCCCCCAAAAGGGAAGGGAGGGTGGTGGAGAAGCGGTGATGAAGACCTTGCCTCATCACTCCCTCAGCACCCGAAATCCAGGCCCGTTATGCAATGCCAAGCGAAAGAAAAGCCAGGGAAGAAGCAGCGACAGAGAAATCTCTGAAAACAAGCAGCAGGGTTGGAAGCTTTCAGAAATAACACACCTTTGGGAACGCGCACGCAAAGAGGAATCCCCTCCAGGGAAACCACCAGTAGGCAAAATGTCACACACAGTTTTCATGAGTCAGTTTACTTAAGTAAAAACACATATTTGGGGTTGATTTTAGCTGCTTTCTCATGGAAAAAGCTCTTTTCTTCCCTTTGCCCAAACTCTCCAAACAAAAAGTAAACGACTTGTCGAGCAACCCTTGGAATTTTCCTGTGAAACAGGCCTCTCGCTTTGGCAAGGAATCCCAGGCACAGACACTCACTCCAGTAAAGGTCACTGCTGCCTTCCAAATTCCAGGTCAGCTGGGATACAAACCAGCACGGTTCCTATCCTTACCATTCCAGCTGCAGAGAGTATCACTTAGCTTCCCTGTTAAACCATTATATTTTATTTAACTTGAGTTTTAGAGCTGCTATGAGCACACTTACTTGGAAAATAAAGTATACGAGGGCTCTTTTAAGAGATTCAAAAAATTTCTTTAACGTACGTTTGTAAAGCACTTGGAGATTACTGAACGAAAGCAGAATATTATGTCTACAAATGCTAGTTGGACATGTTAATTATAAATACACTACAGTAAGGATCCTATTGGGATGTACAACACCAGATGTTTTATCTATAGACATTTTTTCCTTTTCCAGTTCAGTAAAATTCACAAATTCTTTAAGATGATTTTTGGTTTAATTCAGCTGTTTGGGCACTTTCAGAGAAAAGCAAGCTTAAACACATTCCAAACAACTAAAATTCCTACCCAGTGCTGTTTAGAAGAGCCTGGCTTTGACCTCCACTTACTTTGCTGCCGCTGCATTCCTGGTCTCCAGGTCCAGCTCCTGGCTTGTTTTTCAGGCCAGGCTCTACCAGAGGAGGTGTTAAAGCAATGGCAGGGGCAAGAACCACATTCCTGTGTCCTGCCAGGCAACGACGGATGCCATTCCCAAGCAGACACATGTTTCTTGGCTGAGGGTATGCAACAGAAATCTGAACTGCCGGAGCTCTTCTGAGCAGAGGATGTGAGCAAGCAGCCAGCAGGACCTCTTCTTAGGGAAAGTTTCACGCTTGTAGTTTTGGTATTTGCATTCAGTGGTACAGATTTGGTTTCTCTCTCTTATTTCCCCATATGCTTTAACATAAAATTCAAGTCTGTACCAGCAATTCAACCCCATGAGAACTGATGAGAAAAATAAAGCAATCATATTGACTGCACAGGAAACATGAGACTGTAAGCAAAGATTATCATAATGTAGATGTCGACATGCCCCGGAATAAAAATCCCAGAAGAAAGCAAAACACCCTCAGTTCCTAATTAAAGAGTACTTAACCCCATGGAAGCCCAGCATTTTCTGTATGATTTCTGTGTACAGCTGCTGTTTTTTTGCCTTTTTTTTTTTTTTGAATAAAAGAATGAATTGCATTCTATGATAGGACTTGTTTTTCACACCCTTCTCTAACGCTACTTTCATCTCATCAAAAGAAAACCCAGTTCAATGATTTTTCGATAGACTAACAGGTATTCACAATAGCTAACACTGGCATCAAATTTATATATTTTGGCTTCTTTCATGTTCTTAATCGGTGTTAATTTAGCCATAAACCTCACTGTATTTCTGCCTTCAGGCCACAGGTTACACATGCCACAAAGGTGCAAACCATTTGCATACAATCAAGTAGGAAAAAAGATCACAGCAGTAGAGACTCTTCTGCAACTCAGCTGCAAGTATGGATTTCTGTTTCAATGTGGTAAAGTCAAATGAAAGCTTACAGCCTGGTCTGCATCTTCCCCTTAAGGAAATCATTGCAGCACTGCAAAAAGGCAAACCAGTGGGGCCAAAAATTCAGCATGATTTAGATGTGTTAACTTTAAATAATTTTCTTACCTTATTTCAGCAGAACATTTGCTTCCTTTGTGGTTTGTACATTTTTGACTGCAAGCATAAAATCAGTAAATTATAAAGAGGTTCAAAAAGACAGCAAGAAAACTTTACTGGAGACTATCAAACACAGAGATGCTCTTATAATTTCCCATAGAAATCCCTAAGATGCAGCAGCTTGCTAAGAGCTGTGAGGGTCTATCAGAAGAACCATCATCCATGTATATGTGTGTGCAAGGCGTGTGTGGTTATACACACAGGCACACACACACTTGCTTACCATGGTCTTGCATCCCCCTCTAAACATCTCTTGCTGACACCGAAGACCCTGGCTGGACCTTTTTATTTATTTAGAGCTATATTCCTGATTACCAAGCACACCTTTTAGTATCTTACATTGACCTGTCTTCACAAAGACTACGTTGAGAGACCACTTATATCTCATTCTCATATTACAGAATGTAGGCTAGATGTCAGGATGATAAACAGTTCTGCCCACTTTAGGAGCAAAACTACCTGTCTGAGCAGAAACAGATGCTTACTGGTTACTGTAGAAGACTAAAAGCTCACCTTCACTTCGGTTCACCTTTGCCAAAAAGCTATTCGGGTAAAATAAAAGACTAAGACTAGGTTATTTCAGGTGGAAAAAAAAAACCAAAACAATATTAGATGTATTTTTAAAAATTTTATTCCTGTAACAGATGGACATTCATAAAATACCAAGTGAATGCAATAACATAATGCTTTTCATTTTCAGTGAAAAAAATCATTCAAAACCCTGTGATGCTGCGTTGAAACAGTCAATACAAGCCACTCTACAACAGGTTGGAGAAGGTGTATTTTTTATTCACTGCTCAATTAAAAAGGAAAAAGACTTGTGCTACAGGGCATTTGTGATTAAGCAAACCTGCTCAGTTCTACAACAAATTAGCAGGGGAACTGAATTGGTAATAATGGTAATAGCTACTTTCAGTAAACCATAATTCATATCCAAAAAAATTCCAATATGTGCACTGACGCAAGAACTGATGTAAAAAAAAATAGTAGATTATTCTGGTAAATCAAAACAACTAAAATGCAGATGTGCAAATGAATGGAATTAAGACTGCTCGGCAATCTCAACCAAGGCACATCCTTGACTGTCTATCAGTATTGATTGTGCACCAATAAATTTTTCATATTTGTTGTTTGGATATACAAGGTTGTAAAATTAATCAGCAGACTCAGCTTTCCTGGACACTTATTTTCTTTCAAAGAGATGTAAACATTTTGGGACCTATTCTGTGTAAAATTCATTTTTCTCTTAAACAAGTCCTGGTTCCAGGTGTTACCCCACACGACAAATAGCTTTTTTCAAACTTACTTTTCAAGAAGAGAAGGACTATAGCGAGGAGAAGGGCTGAAGTTTCCATCCAAGTTGAGCCAGTCCAAAGTTCCACAGCTCAGGCCTGCTGGGGGCTCCGTAAGCTACAAAACACACAAAATAAGAGCAAGAAGAACAAAATATCACAGCGAGCCAGGAGCTTCCAACTTCTCATGAGTATCACTGCTGCTACGTACAATGCTGCATAACATGCATGGGAGTTTACAATGCCATTACAGTCCTGCCTAGTCTTTGCTAATTTGCAGAAGTGTTAAGTATGTGTTACTGAGCACATCTTTCCCTGTAGCTCTTGTAGCATGCTTCATTAATCAAGAAATAAAGAACAAGAGAAAGTCAAAGTTAAGCTCTTTATCTCATCTACAAAAGTGAGTACAAAAGGACAATTGAACAAAAAGTATAAAATGCTACTATGTGTTACTATGTGATAATCTGCTTTAAAAGGATGGTTCTTGTCAATATCAGTTGGCAACATGACTATATCCTTAACCAGAAAATTTACATCTTTTTAAGTTAGGGTTTTAATTAGACATATCACTAATTTTATCAAATTATGTAATTTTACTTCAAAATCTTATTTAACTTGCTGATGAAAGAATAACTTGCAGTAGTTAGTTCCTGTGAACCAATAAATATTTTATTTTTTATGTATCTAAGTGCTTTCAGAGATAAGAGCACTCAGGCACTTATTCCTGTAAATTCTCCATTTCTTCCAGCACATCCCATTCCGGACAGCGAAACAGTAGTGTAAAGAGGATAATTCAGAAAACTATCAAAAGTGGAAAGATTCTAAATTGGTCTTTTAACTGCAGCATTCTGCTTTTCTCCTTCAATCCCTTGTAGACACGACTAGAAATAGGAAACGCTAAATTATTCAGGAGATCTGCATCATCTTTTGCTAAGCACATCTGAAAGAAGGAGTAGTGTCCTCTCACTAAAGGTTTAGTGTCATTAGAGACCATTAGATGGAGGAAATGAAGCAAGTGAATACAATGACGTGAAGAAATATTATCTCCATCAGGCTTTCTGTTAAGAGGGAAAATAATCAGGAAAATCAATGGAGGTATTAAGAAAAAAAAATACAGAGCCCTAGAACTTACTGATCTCTTTTGTCTTAAGATGGCAGCTTCTGCTGGGTGGTTGAATCTAAATTTATGAACCTTGCCAAGGACAACAAGGGCCCCTGTAAACAGACAGCAACATTATTACAGAGACATAATTCACCAAACATTTAATGCAGCATGCGCTAATTGTGCCTAACTGATATACCAGGAGGTTCTAAACTGTGGTAGAGAGACTACTAAATATCCAAGCTACTATTAAACAGTATGTAGTATTCTCACAGGCCCAAAGCAGAGAAATATTCTTTCCACCTTGCCACTATGGACCAAGTGCACTTATTTTTCAGTAACAGCATCCAAGCAAACTACTTGTGGGAATCACTGGTGTAACATCTGCAGGTTCAGCATGAGAATAAATACCCTCTTCAGTTTAAAGACTGGTGTGACTCTACATCAAAACCATAACCAATCAATTGCCAGAAACTTGTGGATGCAGCTGGATGAAAATCCCCCCAAAAAGCAAGCCTTACCTTGCGACAACCGGCACGATCCTGTGACCTTGCATCCATTCACAGCGCAGCGCGCGCCCTGAACCGGTCGCAAAGTCACAACCCCACAGTTGTTGTCTATCATGCAATGGTCCCTCTCAATCCACTGCCCCTGCAAAACTACAACATATAGATTCTTTTCACTTCATCTGCTCCTCTTCTTTCTTTTGAAGCACTGTGTGCTGTTGGACCATGTAATGGTGCAGGCTGTACCCCCAAGAACCAGCTCACACCCAGGACTGAGGGAGAAAACTCCCCCTTCTTCATCATTATCTCCTGATCATTAGCTCAGGACCACTTCACAGAAACATGTACTTGCTTGAAAATGCTTAGGCTGCTCTTCCAACGTATTTCTAGCTCTGGAAACGTTATGAGACTCTTTGTGATTTGCAAGCTAATGGGCTAAGTCTTTTATCGTGCTGAAATTTCTCACTGCTACTATGGTCTTATTTTAAAAGTTAGTATTCTACTTGGAAGAGGACAATTAAATTTTTGTGGAATATACCAAAGTGGAAACATTTCCAGCTTCAATATAAATTTTCCACACTCTATCATCATTTGTAGCTCTTGAGAATCCGGCTATTAAAGTTAAGGCCAGAAACGAAATGAAATAAAAGATGATCAGAGTCACTTGGGTTTAAAATCTTTAATGCTATGACCAAGGACAGCTGAAAGGTATTTGTACTGTATCATGACCACCTGTGCCATTAGGCACAGCAAGATTAGTATCATTAGAACAAGATATTTTTAATCTTTAATGTAGCACTTTGCAAATGTGAGGAAAATTGTGAACAGACCCCAATCATTTTCATGGACTTTTTGACCTTATAAACTGCAGCAAAAATTAACTGCAAGGTTATTGCCAACTTGAACAGTTATGCTATTCTGCCTCCCTTGTTATATACAGAAAGCTGACAAACAGCAACATTACCTAGCTAGTACAGAAGGCAAAAAAATTCTCCTGGTTTGACATTATACTATCAAATAATTTGCAAATCTTTGTCTCTTACCAATGTCTTGATCCTGATCTGAATCACTTCTTCCAATTTTGGTTGTTCCTTCCTAAACCAAGAAAAAAAAAAAGCCCTAATTTAAAAATCAGCTACTGAAGGCAAATTACACATAATGATTAAGAAAGCTCTGGTACAGCATCTTAGCAAATACCTGAAATAAATGACCTCTGACAGGCTTGCTTAAAGCAAACTGCAGCCACTACTATGTCAAACTTGAGCCTGTGCCCCATAGTGATGCTAATGCTCTTATGCTGCTGTTCCTTCAGCTTCACCTGCTGCAACCCTAGTACATGAAGTAATTTGATATTGATTACTCTACATGAAAGAGTGAAAGACAATTCCAATCAAATGACTGCATAGCTCATCTTAACATACTGAGGTATATGGTCATTTATCTGTTAAAGCCTTTTTTAATGTTTTACCTTCTTTTAGCAGTGTTTCTTGACAAAGGGAGGAATTCCCAAGGCATATTACAGAGCCTTAGAATGAGGGATTACTTCCTCCCTTCACTTTTGGGACTACTTCAATTTTCCAAAATCTTTGTGAAGAAAAAAGTATGTCTTTTTCTATGCCAATACAAACAAATGCCTTATTTTCAAGTTACGTAAAAAAGTAGTCAGTTAAATTATACAGAAAATATTTGCTTTTGTTAATGAAAATCAGAAAAAAAGAACAGAATCTCAGAAAGAAAAGTCCTTTAAGCACAGGCACAGCATTAATTTGTACAATTAATGCTACAGAATAAGTGAATAAAAGAGTAACACTGCTTGTTCTGCCTGATGTGAAGACTGCTATTATGTCCACACTCCCTAAAAGTATAAAGTGCTGTAATATTTTAAAGCCCTAATATTTAAGGAGATGCTAATGTTTTACCTTCTTGCTGCTCAGATAAAGGTAATAGACACCAGAGTTTAAAAGATGCAAAGCGCAAAGAAAAGAAAAGGCAGCATCTAGGAGCAAAGAAAGAGGGGACAAAGATGTTAGTGTGGAGAAAGAGACACTGGTTAATAGCTTCTAAAGGTGGCTCTAAGTTTCATTATTAAAATTAATATTGTTAAACAACTTTGGTCATTGTTACAGTTAGTATTTGAAAATATTTTCTGTCCCTAAGCTGGTGCACAATGGAAAAAAAAGTTTGAGTAACCACGATTACATTAAGTAAATATTTAATGTTATTTTAGGATTCAGTAGGTCCAGTAGGATGTTGTTAAGCACTTAATGTTACTAGTTAATACTACTATAAATAAAAACTACTATAAATAAAAACTACTATAAATAAAAACTACTATAAATAAAAACTTGGTACAATTTTTCTGTGTTGTTCTGGAGAAAATCAGTACTGCTTCTCTTTCAATTAAATGAAGAATAGTATTATTTTTATCTCAAATATTTGTTGCTACTTTTTAAAAAGGGAAGAAAAAAATGAAAAAACAACAAGCCACTCACACATGCACAAGCACACTTGATTTGTCCTCATGTTTTGTGTGCAAAAACTATTTCCATGATTATTTAGGGTACTTGGACATCTTCTTTACTTACCACATGAAAGTTTGTGGAAGACTATTTGATAACAAAAGAGGTCAGCTTATTATTCCAGTCATTCTGTTTTGTTTTGCCTAAGTGTTAAAGAACATCCTCTTTTGCCTTCATTTTTGGGTATCCCATTTCACTGTGATTTTCTGTTTCTCCATATATTTGTTCTTCTGGATTGTGGCCTTTACTTTCTGATAGCTGTTATTATAAGCTTAATGCTACCTTAATCACTCTCCCACATCCCCAAAGGAAACATACATCTTGTTATCAAAAGGAAAAATAAGACAAGTGATAATATCTCACCCTGAGATGATAGAAGACCACTCCTGTACTGAGGATATCATCATCCATTGCCATCAGATGAGGTAAACTAGAATCTATTGTTACTCCAACTTTTTCTTTGTTGATGTCCACACTGTATTCTTCCATGATGGTTTTCCTGTCTGTCCACTTATTTGTCCAATCTTTGGTCAGTTGCTCGATCTTAAGGGAAAGTAGGATTAAAAAAGTGTTTTCCTTTTTAGTAAAATTATTTCACCAGCTAAAATGAAGTGCAGGTGCATTTTTAAATGCATTACCTTTCTGTGGTAGAAAAAAATAATCAGGTAAAAACTGTACTGCTATTTACCCACATAGGTTTAGCCCACAGAAGACTTTTTCCCAAAATACCAGCAAAATATCCCAAAATACCAGGATCATGCTAACTTTTTGATTTTCAGATTAGGTAATTTGCCCATCTGATAGACTTAAGCAAAACCAAAACATTCAAAACCTCCTCAGGTCCATACGGATCATAACTTAAATTGGGCTTTAATTGGACTGCACAATAGTTTCCTTTAAATGAGTTGGAGAAGCTTAATCTTAGAAGACAAAGTACACCTCTATAACGAGCTATTGTGATACAGTTACACAGTTTCAGACAAGGAGTAGATTGTGTGGACTTAATGGGACACTGTTCATCACACACCACTAAGGACACACGAACACTCATCACAGAGTGGCAGAGAACACCCAACACCCATTAATGGTGGCAGTTTTCTACACGTTCCAAACACATAGGAAAGAGTTAGGATAAAACATTTTCACCAGTGCAGTTTCAAAACCCTGGCGAGGCCACCAGATGGGACAGGGGTGGGTTACAGCATCCAACAAATCACACGCACCTTCATTTCGTTCTGAAGAACCAACTCGGTCAGATTTCCGTCTCTGTCATCACTCCAGGAAGGACTGGAATTCCTCTATACAAACAACAAATGCGGAGAACCATGTGCAGGTTTCCTTATTCGCTAGAAAATGGACACATATTTGATGCTTCCTTCTAAATTTGTTTGTGACCTCCTTTCTAGTTATTGCACACAGGTCTTTGTGGAGACCTGGTGAGAGAGCATTAACAGAGAGACACTGCTGTGCAAATGAATCCTGGAGTCTAGCTTCAGTTTCTCTCAGAAAAATATACTCCCTGTGGTATGGGAAGCCAAAAAACTATTATTGTTTCAAATTAAAAACCACATAGAGTGAGAGCTGTACTGTGAGGGCTTAGAGTCATGCACGCTTTCTTGTGGAGGAGAGCAACCTGTGCCTTCATGGTCTGCTAGATTGCTTTTTGTGGGGGGAAGAGTCTGGCAGGGAAATTGCATCAATGCTCCACGTTTTGCTTTGTCTTGGTGCTCTCTATCCCTAAACAAAGCCAATATTTTCCAGGATTTCTTGGCAGCAAAACTGTCTGACTCCACAAAAAACGACAAGCAGGCCCTTTCTAATCATCACACAACAACTTATACTTTGGGATTACTAATTTAACGCCAGAAAAAGGAGAAATTACAGAAAAGCAATTAGCTTCATAATCATTTTGAAACTACCCAAAGAACAATGCATTTTTCCTCTAGTTACAATGAAGCTGGAAAGGAAAACAGACAAGAGGAAGCCGGGGACTACTGCTCCTTGGAGCAGCAGCACTTCTGCAGCTGGGGGAGATCACACGTACCAGCTCAAAGCTCAGCAGCATCGTCTTTAATCTATCGATTTCTTCGCGCAGTTCTCTGATCAGCTTTACATTCGCGTCCTGAAACATTGAGACACAGAAATGGGAAAAATCCAAAAGCCAGGAGCTTTTATTATTATTATTAATAATAATAATAATATTATTTTTGCAGGCAACAGTGAATAGGACCAGGCAAAGCTGCAGCTGGTCCCCTGCTTAGGGGCAGGTGGCTCCGGGGAATTTCTGTTCATGAGATTTTCATCTTCTCTCTTTACTGAGCACAGATCTAACAGCATCTGTTCCCATCATCACAACAGCTGAGCACATCACTGCTTTTATGGATTTAACCTCAAAATAACCCCACGGGGACACAAGTTGGGATGCTATTGGGAGAGGTTGTGTGTAACAAGAGGCTATGCCTCGAAAACCATGTTTACTTGCATGTGCCCTGTCAGAGTTGAGAATTGTTGCTGCCAAAACCAAACACACTATTGTCACCACTAGTAATGTCTGAAAAATATTCTTATAGGTGCTGGTAATACTGCCACATATTCAATTTGGGAAACTCTGGATTGGAAGGGTTCCTTTTCTACCTAAAATTTAATACAATATCTGTGGGAAAGCAAGTAGGTAAGTTAGATCCCTAAGATTTTATCCTTTTACTTAAGGATAAAATTTTGTTGCAAACTTTATTTCCAAAGATCTAGAAACTACTGGAATACTGTACAATGCTCAGATAACTATAAATTAGATTTAGTCAGTCACAAAAGTACAAGGTCCAAAGAATGAAACGGACCTAGGAATAGGTAGCTTGGAGATTAATTCAGGGAGTTGTACGAGCAGAACTTGATCACAGAAGTCATTTCACTGAGCTTCATGGTATATGGAAAAAGTAAAGGAAAAGGCTTTTAGAAAACCCAGGTCCCATAGAATTTTATTATAGTAAATAAGCCAGGTTGCCTGAGTGAAGTGGAAGGGATTCAGTATGAATACTCCAATTCTACTGTTGAACCAAAAGCTATAAATCTGGTCTAACACAATGATATCTTTTGCTTTTCTATAGTGTTCCCTAGTGAAGGGAACTAGTAAAGGTGTGAAGTCAAGTGTTTATTCAAATGTTGAATAAAGAACTTTTGTGAAATCTTAAGACGGTCTCCTTAAAAGAATACCCTGAGATATAGTCCTTAAATTACACCATCAGTGCAAGACTGCAGTCTCCTGCAAATGCTCAACTGAAGAGCAGCAGCTCACGGGTTTTATACTTCTAGCATGTATAATCCCAGCTTCTGATTACTGAGCTATTTGAACTTTGCTGTGAAGACACAATAACATATTTTCCCTTGGAAAATTTTTTAGCTCTCATCAGGAAGCAGTAAGAATATTTTTAGTTCTCATCAGTGCATTATCTAAGGACTACACAACCGCTAGCACACTATTTTGACAGTGCATGTTTGGGAAAGTCTTAGCAGAGTTCTTTTAACATGCCTATGGGCAGCATTGTCTGTTTATAGTTACAGGTTAAATAGTAACAAATGAGCTAAACAGCTCTGTAAACCTGCCAATATTCAGAAAAAAAAAAAAGCAGAGTAAATGTGTGTCAAAACAATTCAAAGAGAAGGATTGAAACTGAAAGGATAGAGAACATCTGAAGGGTGTGAAATTTTAAATTTACTGCAGTTTAAATCATTTAAGAAATGATTTCTATAATATCTAAGATCTTACTGAGTTTTGATCAACATGAGAAAAAGAGGAATGATTTTTATTGACAGTGCACATATACTGAATAAAGAATACACAAATATCATTAAAGAACACTCACAAAAAACTGCACAAAAAAGAAAAGCAGAGCTCAAAATCTCACCTCATTCACTCTGGGCTTATTAATTATATTTTTGGCATTAGACGCATATCTTAAGGTACTCATGGTCTCGTTATAGCTGGAGCTGGCAGGAGAGATAGCTACAGAGAGAACATAAGCACTGATATTATTAAATCTTTTTGAAAACCTAAGGTCTTTTTTAGTTGGTCATCTTTAAAAACAAAACTAAAAATATCTTGAGTGATATTTCATCCAACTCACAGATTGGTTTCTCCAGGTTATATTTACAAGTGAATAAATCAAATAAAATCATAGCTGCAGCCTTGGAAAGATTCATTTCCTATGCTTAATTTCATGCACGATCAGCACACCTTTTCCTTTCAACCCTATTACTCCTTGCATATCCTACGAAGGATAAGGATTTGAAATCTGACCGTGTGAAAATGTTCACAAGTGATATAGCTGACTTTGCACTTCCACAAAGACGTATTTTACAGGTCTAATCCCACGCAAAAAAACTTAACAACGGATAGAAACCGGACTCACTGGCAATCATAATGGTCTTGGAGTTGCCTCCTAGGCTGTCCTTGAGCAGCCAGGTGAGGATGGAGTCGCGGTAGGGGATGTAGGCCTGGCGCCTGGCCCCGCCGCTGCTGCCCGAGGAGGGGCTGCCTCCGTGACTGCTCTCGCCCTCGCTCGTTAGGGTGTTTATGCTCTGGCAGCTGCTGAACATCTGCGAATTTTGCGCTGAAAGAAAAACATGACAGAGTTCATGAAATAAGATATCGTCTCCCCATAGCTATTTAATTTTATTAAGAGTTATTACGGTTTATGAAGAAGTTATAGAACAGTTCTGCTCGGCTTCTTATTATAAACATAGATGAAGATTAAAACATAGCACACAGGGATTGAGTCCTATAGTTTTATTACTATTCTTTCAACATAAAGAATTAGTATGCTTACCTAAAGTGGAGATGACAATCCCAAGTGTAACCAAGGACTTGTTAATATTGGCACCTTCTGTAATTCGGTCTTTACAGTAACTGGGATCGGCTCTTTCACTGAAGCAGACAAGCATGGACAAAATAGAACAATGTTTAATAATTAATCAGTGTGAAAGCACCTTTCTTGTTCTTTTGATGTACAAGATTAAAAAAATTACAAGTTCTGCAGGTAAAAAGATATATATACTTTGAAAACTATAATGGGAACGTTGCTCTCAATTCAAAAAGCCCAAGCAGTCATTAAAGACCATAAGCACAAAATACTGTTGGAGACCTATCAAAATATATCTTCAAGTCTGAACTGGACAACCTCATGAAAGTGGCTCTAAGAGAACAAGTTACATTACAAAACTCTGTAAGCATGGCTTGGATCCACGGAAAAAAAAAAAATATAGATTCACTCAAAACTACTTTCTGTGCTCACCTATTTTACCTTATTGAGAAAGAAAAAATGTCACATTCTGCAGCTATCCTACAACTCCTAAGTACCATGTCCACCTTATCAAGTTCTGCCACATCTCACTCAGCCACACATTCCCCACCAAAACGTGTAACAACTGAGCTCAGGGATTGGGAGCTGCTGGAATGTGAGCACTGAGCGAGGACAGCAGCCCCGCTCCGTGGTGGGCAGCCACGAGGAGCACGCTCTTAGCCTACCCTTTCCAAGCTTGGATTTGGCAGCTCCTCTGCTAGTTACTGGAAACTTGCTACTTGCATGGTAGCAGTTTCTGAAAGAAATCACACTAAATGTCTGCAGCAGCAGCCCACCAGACCTGAGGACCGAGGAACTCCAGTGAAATCCAGTACTAAATAAAGAAGAATGGATGACAAATGCAATGTGAACTCCATGTGTCTTGTTCCCATGCACGCAAATTAGACTTATTGTTATTATGAGATTTTAAAATAATAAGAGCCAACTTCTAAGCCAGTAATACCAGTATTTGCCCAGAGCATTATCTTTTTTACCCTTCACTATATTATTACCTGCCTGCAAGGTCCACTAGGTTGATCTTGCTTGCAATTTCAGAGGGGAGATTGTTTTCCAGTATAGCCTGAAGATAAAAATATAAATAGAGAAGATTATCCCTTCTACTTCATTAATGGCAATAAAATTGCTGCCTTCTCTTGTTTGAAAATGATTATACATCCAACTGCCCCACTCTTTCTCTTTGTAGTCTTAGACCACTATGGCCAAACCTTTAACTCAACAGCTTTCTCAGCGGACACAAAAACTACCCTCTTGTGCTGATTTCCTCTCAAGAAAATCTTTACCGCCTGGTGACCGTGAAAGGCTGTCTCGTAGATCTTGCAAAGTTATTTTCCACTAACATTTCCCAAAGTTCCTTTGTAAACTATTGAAAAATCTCCCAAAATGTTCTGTGATTACAGGATGTGAGAAGTGTGAGATAGAAAAGGTCTCTTGGATCACTGAAACACTTCCCTGCCAGGGAAGGATATAATTCCTGCACAGAAAGGCTTCATTGTCTCTGGTACAGCACTGGGTGCCAAATGCTAAGGAGATGAACACAGCTGAAATGCTGGACAGAAACAAAATTTTGGTAAATCTTAAATACTTTAATACTAAGTATTAATACTAAGGAACCTAAATGAGTGTCACAAAACATAACTTTTCATAGCACTGTAGAAGAGGTATTGCCTTTGAAAGGGCTGCTTAAAACTTTTAAGTACTACTTTTAACAGTGAGTCTTTGGCATCACTTCTAACTATAAACATGCACAAAAGAACAAGAACACTTCAATAAATGCTCAAGACATCAGGCAGTGTAGGAAACACATCTGCAGTGTGATCTGAAGGAAATAAGCAACCGTTTCCACCGAGATTACTACAAGCAACACAAAACAGTGGTAGCTAAACAATGCACGACACATTGAATAATGATTTTTCAGAGAAAAGGAAGTTGGATTATTTTTAGCTAACCTGCGTGTAGTGGATGGTGAAGATAGCGTGGGACCTGCTGCTGGCGTTGTGAATGTGCGTAGCTGCTGTGATCCTAGAGAGGAGGAAGAGAAAACTCAGTCAGGAAGGTTCGTCCTCCTGCACGAAAGGCAGCCATGGTGTGGGGAGGGTGCTGAAGCTGCAGAAGGGTTTCGGAGCCCTTGCACAGCCACCACACACAACCTCCTGGTTTCACTGCTGTCCACGGGGCTGTGACTGCAGTTTTGCTCCACCAGAGAAGTGCAGTAGGGAGAGCTCAGTGCACCTGTAGCGGCCAGAGGCTGCTGTTACTCACGCAGTGCTTGCCTGCTGGCCGCCCCTGGGTGCACTGAGCAGCCCCACAACCCTCACCCTCTTACCCACCACAGCGGTGCCTCACAGCAATAAAGGTGCCCAAACTGAGGGAGCAGGAGAAAGTTACTCCCTAAGCAAGCAAGGCAGAAGCACTCAGACTAGTTTCTCACCTCCTACATTACTAGGGTAGCTGGAGGGCAAATTTACAGCACTTCAACTCTGCAGATCCCATGCAAGCATTTTCATGGGAGACTATTCGTGTCAGTCATTTCACCAGGGCATATGCTGCATGTTTCACCAATTTTAACTGTACTAATATTATCTGTATTGGTTGGTTGCTTTGCTTTACATGGCAGGATTTACAATGTGCATTTACAATGTCTTCACATCTTCTATTTCTGTAGTAATACACCCATCATAGCACTACACTGGCAGACTGATCAGAATTTTATTTCTTTGAAAAACTCTCTTTGTATCATAGAGTTATATCTACTGATTGATGCAAGTCAAAGCAGCAAAAATTAGTCCTGCTGCAAGTTCAGCCTTGGCAGTCTCACTGATCTTCTAACATTTCAACCTCACTTTTATTAAGACTTGATAACAGCCTTAGAACTGTGATTTGTATTTGTTGAATTCCCCTTTGAAAATAAGACTCTATTTCCACCACTCAAATGGTAGATGTGTGGTAGCCCTGTAGAAAAGGCAGGGGGGAAATCACTCCACTAACGCGAGCTTAGGTCATTGGTTTCACTGGCAGGCCAGTTCCCACAGTTCTCTCACAGCAATCACGTACATGATTTGGTGTAAAAATTTAAAAAACTTACCTACCACGAGAAAAGGGATGTAAAAAGCAAGACTGTTTTCAGCGGTCTTACCTTTTTTTATGCCAGACAGATGGTAGAATTTTGCGGGTAAGTCAGCAAGGGATTGGCTTTGAAGAAATATGTTAACTAACAAGTTTGTGAGCCCCTGTAGCTATGGCTATGGATAGCATGAGGATATGTGGTATCTTTCAAGCAATAATCATAAAATCTAACTTCCTATCACAAAGCATCAAAGCTGACAGTGTAAAACAGACATCTGTGGAATTAAAATGTGGAGAGAAACGTTAAATAAAGATGGGGTTTGTTTATTTTATAAAATACCTTTTAGCGATTCCTTTCTCCAGAAGTTCTACAACTTGCTTGTAGTCTGTAACTAAATGTTGAGACAGTCCTGCCAAAAATTTAAAAGGAGTTAAATCCATATTTTTCCCAGAAATTTCATCATTCACTGGTGAGTTATAATGATGGTTTATATTCTCACAGGATGCCTGCCTGTTCTGCATATAGTCTCAGAATCAATTTAAATATTTTAATTAGAATAAAACACTGAAGTCCATCCTTTGGATGCAGTGACATTAGCATTAAAATGCCTTTCACTGGCAAGCTGGACCTTTGTCCAACTTATCAGTGGAACAACTATATTTTAAAAATGGCATAGTTGAAAACTCCTCATGGAGATACAGTTATGCCACTGCTATTAATGGGGTACATAGCCTATTCTGGAGCTTGTAGCTGTTGCCTCTGGATAGTGGTTCTGCTTGCATGACTCACAGAGTTAGTACCCATCCACTGTGTGGAATATTTAGCATGTACTTAATTTTAATTAGCATTGAGCCTGCAGCACTGAGTCCTGATGCTCTCTGTTTTCCCCAGACGGTATCCAAATCACGAGATGAAACATGTGGCATTTTATACTTCCTGCTTTCAGGATTTTCAAAAATTTGATTGCATTTTTAAGGAAAAATCCTTAAAAAATACTGCATTGCAGAGCCGAGCGTAGCAGAGCAGTGGCTGTGACTAAGGCAGCCCCAGAGGAGGGCAGCACGTGGCTATGCTGTGGTTGTGCTGCCAGCACCTTGCAAAATGCAAATACCAGCACAGACACAAAATTAACTGCAGCAGCCTCAGACTTCCCATAAATCCAGCTTCATGTTTCCTTTGCATTTTCTGGTGCTAATGACTTATCATTTGCACTGCTGAGACTCCTAAAAAGAGTCCTGGAGTTGTGAGGCAAGACTTACTGTGCAATGCATCCTAGTGAAACAAGTCTTTTCCTGAACATTTTATCTCAAAGTTGGAGTCCAGGGCAATTCCTTTTTTTTTAAAACAAACAAACAAACAAACAAACAAATAACAAAAGAAACCCTTCACTCCTGCACTGATTCAAGTTTTGCTTTTGTTTTACTGTAGGCCACAACAGTGTGGATGACGTGTCAAGAGTATTCAAAAAAACGTGATTTGGATCAAACAATTTATCTACAGCCAGAGTTCAAGCCGCGTTGAATTTAAAAATTCAACATGGTTGAAGTGACTATTTCTGGTATTATTAGAGAGGTTCTCTCCTTAGATGATGATGTCTTGCTTAATTTTAAATGAAAGTGAAATCTAGCACAAAGACAGGAATTTATGTTAGTCCTTTAGCAACTGATACACAGAAAGGAGAGAAAAAAAAAGTATTTTCATTACCTACACTTCAAAAATTTCCATTCCTACAGTGCACATGCATGCACACTAACACACACTAAACACAGAATGATTTTCAAAGAAAAGCATTTCTTCTACTGCATAGCAGTGTAGCTTTCCAGCACAATAATTCCAGAAGCCGTCACATTTTCCATTTGAAAAAAAGGGCCATTATTTTTCGAACCGCATTGGGATTTTTAAATACTGAATGTGGAAACTGCCATATATTGTTCTCAAAGATTATTTTTCAGGATTTTACTTAACTGACTAAAGCAGCTATGACATAATGAAGACACTAAGGAAATTCTTACCTACCTACATTTCCATAAGCACCAGCACACTGAATCTAGCAGAGAGTTCTAAAATAATTTATTTTATAGTATGGTAAATGAAGCAGTGTGAATGGTTTTCAAGAAGAAATCACAGTGTACTTGTGGACAAAGTAATGTTGGAAAAAAACAAAACTAATTTTCAAGTACTATTGAAAGACTGAAAACTCTTCCTCGTCTATAAATCTGCCTTGGTGCAAAGCAGAATCTCCCCCAGAAATCCGCCTCAGAGTAACAAAATAGATTGCATCATTTCCTGATTTAAGAGCGGCCGATTCCTTAACAGTGCAACCATCTGTGAGGGAGAGGCTTGAACCTCTTCCAGCACAAAGCACTGAAACACTTTGAGCATTTTAAGGACTACAATCTCACAGCCTTTACACGGAAAAACGATGGACTGGAAACCAGTCAAAGTACTTAGTGTTGGGAACAGGGATGTCCTGGCTGGGCTTGTAAGTGGAAAATGCATTGCCCGCTATAACAGGGCAACAAAGCGGCCCTAAAAAGGTTAAATTACGATTTTCCCTTCTGTCTGTTCTTCACCCAAGTGCTAACAGTGGTCTGGAAATCCCTGACACCAACCGCTACCCACACTAAAAGGGGGAGCTCCTCATCCATAGGAGCTCACAAGCCTTTCCTGCAAACAGTAAACACAGATGCTTGTCCTTAATGGATTGAATCTTAGGAAATTAATGGAAAATTCCAGAGTTTTACCTGGTGCTCACTACTCTAACGTCCACAGACAGCATCCTGGCTGGAAGGGGGGTACCAGGTGAGCAGCCCTTCTACTCAGGTTGCAGATAAGCCCCTTCAATGTCACATAGCTGTTAAAACCAGATCCTTCACTGTGGTCCTGCACGGGAAGCTACACCTAAAACTGCCACAGGCTTCAGCACACAGATGGCCCTCACTGCAGAGATCAGCCGTTGCTGACTGCAGCAGGACACTACTGCAGCAGTCAAGGGCATTTTGTAGCAGTGCTGTGAATCACCTCATTTCCTCAGTTGCATGCTACTAGATCTGAGCTAGCTGCACTCCTCCCCTGCATGCTGAACACCCCCTGCTTCTCTTACTGCTACTCATTGGGATGTGAAGCAACAAATGCAGCTTGACATAGAACTATGTAACAGAGCTCTTTTATTAATCCCTCTTGCAAGGATTGCCTCAAATATAACCACTACAGTTCTTAATTGCAAAAACTGTATATACACATTTAATTTTTTATATATTTATGTAAAAGGAACTATGTCACCTGACTGCTGCCCCTAGCCACTGACGCACCAGCCTCAAATCACTTCCATTCACATGCTGCCACGCCAGCATGCAATAATCCTCGTGATGCCTTCAACAGAAATATCACTTCATTTTTCATGTGTGAGATCAGTTTTTCCAATAATGTGAATCACATTTATCACTAAAAAACACTTTTTTTTCCCTTACAGCCATTAACACAAAGATTTTTGGAGCCTGACATAAGATACAGAGAAGACACAGATTCTTTTAAGATAAAACATTCATACTGGCTTTAATAATGTGTCTAAGGCCAGCAAACATTACTTAGGTTAACAAGTTTTTGTACTTTCCTCTCATATTAAAGAAAAATCTTATTGAAAGGGAAGTCTTAAGGGATAGTTCAGAACTCTAAGATAAAATTGTTCCATTCAAAATTTTTAGTTGCGTACAAGTATAAAATTCTTATTCAAAAAGGGTAAAATTGAATTAAAAAAAAAAAATCAGAACCAGAAAAGAAGAAGTGACAGATTTAGCCTGGAAGTTTCCAGATGAGGACAGACTAGTGACAAAAGGCAAAGCAGCCCATTTGCAGACCTCTGAGTCCCCAGCCACAACTTCATTTTCTTCTAAAACACGGAAGTTTCATTATATGCAGCCAAAGAATCACTGGAGATAGAGGCTTGAGAAAAGGAGATGGAAACTGCCAAGGAAGGAAGCAGTTTAAAGACCTTTTCTTGTGTGCTGAATGAGCAGCTGCTGAAAGAAAATAATTAGTAACTGTTCCCCACCAACAATGACAGTCTCAGATAACAAGCAGGTAGAGAAAGAATCTTGGAAAGACCTCAATAAAGACCAAGTGTCTACGAACCTACTTTGCAAAGAATGATATGTTTGCCATACTAATGAGACCGTCAATGCATCTATTTTCCAAGACTCCATTGAACGGGCCGCTGATGTGTTGGGAAAGCACAGCTGAAGGAAGCGCAGCGCCAGGCAGCACCCCATGCCTGGGAGACAACCCATGAAACCCTTCCCAATTTTGCTTCTTTCAAATGGGGAACTGGTAGCCACTGGCAGGTCTTAGATGCCCTCTTGGTCCTGGTCCTGCAGGTGTCCTGGGAGCTACAGGCTTCACCCATCACTTGGTCAAGTCAAGCTGTTGTCACATCTCAGCTGAATCTCTACCGTGCAGAGAATTTAAAGAACAGAGCCCATTTACAACCTGCCCCCAAGTGAGACAGATGCACTGAAAATGAAGCTCAGACTCTTACTTTCTAAACAAACTTGCCAACTTTTGAAGCTTGCAGTTTGGAAATGACTCTTCCTACCAATCCTCATTATAAAGCTACTGGCTATGATTTAACACGCTGGTTCTGAAGAAGGTGACTTTTGACAGTCAGTGGTCTGATGCAGTCCAAGGCAGCAGGTAAGCTTTACATTAGGCCCTAAGGAATTTTACCAGGTACAATGGCCAAACTCCCATCTAAAACTATGCAAGACCCTGAAGTAAGTGCATCAGCAAGAGGTGGAAAAAAACCCTACAAGCACAGAACCAATAAGGGAGAAGAATTAAACCAAGATCGATAACTGAAATGGAAAAAATGCACTTTTTTCATCCACTGTCCTCTGCTGCCTAATGTGAAAACTGATTCCACAGAACACACAAAGCCACCCGAACGGCTGCTCTTGCAAGTTTGAATTAAGAGTGGATTTTTTTAAAAAAAATCATATTAAAACACCTGCTTTACCCTGTTTATTAAAACACCTACATTTACAGCATAATGAATGGTCTGGGACACTGTTTTATTGAGGAGGTTCAGACATACTTTAAATTGACTACTCAACACTTGCAACAATGGAAATGATTAAGATTATACCAGCAACCTCTGTGAAGAAATGTAAAGACCAGACATGCATTCACTTGAAATTCTTATGCAATTAATGAAAGTCACTCTTACCTTGTACGTAAGGACCCGTTTCAGGGTGTTCTCGGACTCGAAGGGTATAAGGTTTCTTGTGGTCTGATTGTTTTAACAGATCTCGGACACGCTCGTTATAGATTTCAAGAAAACTGAAAAGATAAGAGAAAGAAATCACATGTAATTGTACATTCAAATGTACATACGATGTAACTACCTGGATCTTTCACTATTTTTTCATGATTTTTCTGCTGATGCATTCACTTTCATTATTGCTGTTACTGCCCCCTCCCATGCAGTGTCTTTCATCTTTCCTCCACTGTTCCCTCCCTTGCCCCAAAACTATCAACATATGAGAAAACATAAGCAAACAAAAAACCCCTTTGCTTTCTTTGATTAGAGGGATATACTTTGAAAATGTTCACACCATTGCACAGAACAGTGACCCTTACCTGACTTTTACCCTGCAAGATGTTGTCTGGTTTGAGTAATCATCCTTCCTTGAAAAGAGGCCCTGCACAAATCAGAAGCTGCTGTAAATTTTAAATCTAACGCGAAAATCTAACAGCTTAAATGCAAGTGAAATAAAAAGATAAGTACCTCACATATACGAGGTGTCAACCCAATCGACGCCTGTAAATAACAATAAAATTAATATATTTGCTTTTATCCTTGCAAAATTAATTTATTAAATGAAAGCCAAGTTATAAGGACGGAGAGTGCAATGACAAAGCAACAACCCCGTAGGGGATCACAGTACAAAGCTCTCTGGGGTGCAGTCTGGAGCAGTGCATGGCAGGGCACAGCTGAAGCACCTTGCACATAAAACACTAAAGGAACTAGCGAGCTGTGCAATGTCAGCAGTCTTAGCCTCAGTAAAAACCCCATTTACAGCTAAAAAACCCCACCATTTTAGAGCAACTTAGCATCAACAAGAAGCAGAGAGATTTCATGTGCTAAAATAGTTTCTTACTCCTTAGCACTGAATTTTATAATTCTTCAGTTTAACAACTTTTTCAGGGAGTTAATCTTGACTTAAAACCAACAGAGAACCAAGCCACAATTTAACAAAATCCTATTGTTGATTTTAGTGAAGGGGGAAAAAAAGATTAATCCAGACTATCAGGGAGAAAGAAACCAGGCCACACTGGCCTTTTTCTTCTCCTTGGGTTTTGAACAAATTTTACCCTTGTTTAACTTTTTAAACTGAATCCTCTTAGGGACAGGAAATAGAGGCTCACTTGTGCAAATTCTTAAATAAAATCTCTCTTGTTTAGGGGTAACTGGCATTCTCCAATAATCAAGAATAAATACAGGTAAGGATCAGATCACCTTCTGTTGCAGCAGAGCACAGGAACCCTTAACTCTCTCCCTTAGCAGTACTAAAATGCACTTTAAAACGTTCATAGTAGCCAAGTGCCTTAAAATACAACAGTTTGTACAAACACCATTCAAATTAATTTTAAAACTGGAAGCAAGTATAGTTTCCACAAAGACTAGCTTCTGCAACCAATAAATGTCTCAAGCAGATGATGAAGTCTGCTACAAAAATATACCCATGAATTTCATCCTTTTTCATTTGTGAAAATAATTTAATTTCAGCATGGCTCAGATACCAAAAAAAAGATGTTGTAAATGTTGTATTGTCATGAGCTATGTGCTTCAAAAAAACTAGACACTTTCAAGTGTATATTATTTTTTGTCTTCTAGCACAGCAGTGCTAGAAGTTGTACATGGTAAGATGGTTATCTAAAAGAAACATTTAAATTATGCCCTATTTTCTGCCTTTTTTTTTTTAAGTTGATGCTACATTATTTACCTAGACATTCACCTCTTATTTTACATATTCCATATTCACCTATACACCTCACCCCAAACAGCACATGCTCAAGCAGTACCATAGAGCAGGCTTTAAAACTACAGCTAACCCTGTCATGGAAGCCGAAGTGGCAACTCACAGGTGTTCCCATCATGGTGTAAGTTTTTCCTGAACCTGTCTGTCCATACGCAAAGAGGCAGATGTTGTATCCTCTAAATGCACCCATCAACACAGAAGTGCCGAGGTCCTGAAATACCTGGAAAGAGAGACCAAAAGAGAGAAAGCAGCCTGTGAGTAACATAAATCCCAGGACACATCCTGCATTACTTAATCATTCAGCTTGCCTATCTCCTCATGGATAAGGATTTCCTCTATATTTATCTTTTAATGCATCACACACACAATATACTTGCTGGACCACATCCTCAGAACACCAAAGCCAGGCTATCGCTCAGCTGCAGGAACGCTTGGTAAAAGTTTCCTGTCAAATGTACATTGGATTATGTATATACAGACATAAATATGAATTATTTGCCATTACAAAGCTTTAAAATGTGTTTTAAAAGTCCAAAAGTGCACCAAGAAATAGAGAAGGGGTTAAAGAATGGAACAGCACAGAAGAAAACTACTGAGAGGTACTTGAAGATGTCAATCATGTGGTGAGACTAGAGAACAAAAGTGTGTAACTGAAGAGGAGGAGGAAGAAATCTTAGCCCTAGAGAGGTCAGCAGCAGCAGCTTGAGTGGTGGCATCAAAGGGGACATAAAAGAAGTCTAGGAAAAAAAATAGAAAGGCAAATAATAAAGTTATATATACAAAAAACGTCTGGAGAAAAAAAAAAAGGAAAACCAGAATGACAATGGTTTCCAAATACTGCAGGTAACAAGTGAAAGCTGCATTTGATGTGGTAATGGGAAAGGAAAATGCCTGTCTGTACAACAGCAGAACAGAGTTACCGCAAAATATTCTCTTCAAGCCAGTATAAAACCAATTCTTCCGTAACCACTTCAGATATAAATATTCCCTGGTACCACAGCCAGAACTGATTTCCCTTATAAACCAAGTATGTACTAGAAAGTATGAAACAAGATCACAGGCAGCACTTTGTCCATGAGACTTGCTTTCCGAGTTGTGGGAAAATGGAATAGCAGGAATGGGGGGTTGCGTTGTCTTGGAGGCTGCCTGTAACATCTGTTTTTACTTACATTCCTCCTTTCTATGGAAAAGGCCACTTAAAAATAGAATTTGAATAAATATATCAAACTGCTGTGATCCCTATAGCTTTAATTTGGCCTAGATCACTGGGATTCAGGGGTATCTCTTATGTGAGGAGTGCATAACCTGCCCCATGCTTCTGAGTAAAGTGGAATCCTGCAGCGTGCTCCCAGTCTTGCAGTGGCCTGATTTATTGTTTTGGGGCTTTAATAATCTGACTGTATCAGGCCACAAGAGAGCACAAAATGCACCCTTCAATCGTGCCAACACAGCTCCCGCTTCTGAGCAGAGTCAGTTTTTGCAGTCCTTTGGGTAACACTGATGGAAACCCACTATTTGCTCTCAAGCAGTATTAAAGAAAGAGGCCAGCCCCATATTAACAGCATCAATCTAACACAGATTTTTTTTTTCTATAAATTAAAGCTATTTGGAGTGTTAATAAGATCAGTGCAAACTATTATTATGGGATTCTTGGCATGAACCATCTATTAAGCCAGGACATAAACAGGTCCAGTTCTTCAATGCTGTGTGGCCATCATGATCAGCCTCATGAGTTCAGAGGCTGTTTTACTAATCCTTTACAGTAAATCTGTGCACTGAGCAAGGACCCAACAGGGGCTCACGGCTAATACTCATTAGCTAGACCAAGCTGCAACTACTATATTTATATGCATACATATACTAGTATATGCATGTACATGTACTAGTATGCTGTATATGTGACCCCCACCTCCCTCTTCCCCACTGTCTCCTGCAATTCTTCATGCCTGTTTCAGCACTTCGCAGCCCTCCATGGCTTCCTGCCACCCTACCACATGTATCAGATCCATGATAAACTATCCTTGGTTCTCTGAGTGGGACAGAACACGTCCTGCCATGGGGGAGAGGATATGACCGACCGGCCGCTTTAGTGGCCCAGGATATAACGCCACACAATCTTCACAGGCAAGCAAACCTGCAGTGCAGCACAGCAAGGGGAGAAACCATCCAGAGATGAAAACTGGAATCTCAGATCTGCATTTGATTTCCAGCTCTATTGCTAAAACTTTCCTATGACACCAGGCCAGGCACTTCACATTTTTATGGCTCTGTTTTCCAAGCAGTAAAGTAGGAATAAACTATAAGCAGAAAATTGTGAGACATTCTCACGTGTTCGTAAACCTTCCCCCCTGCAACCTTCACTTAATCTCATCAGATTTCAATTGTGCCACCCATTGCGCTCTGTCCCTTTCCAGATATGCTCTGACTAAAGAAATTTGTCCTCCAAACCCCATATAAGCAAAGCTCTTTTGCATTTACTCTGTATAAAACATATGGGCTACCCAGATGTTTCAATGCAAGTATGTTTCAGATCAATCCTTTTTGAATTTGGCTTTAAAGAAATATACATTACTACAAAATAAAATAAGTTTGAAAGCAATATTATAACCCTACAATAATAATGTATTAGAATTTTGCCAATTTTTAACTGAAATCATATCAAAATCTGTTTTTTCAGGTAGACTAGTTGAGAATAGTCTCAACTTAATCAAAGAAGCGTCTTAGTTTTAGTGTACTGAAGACGATGGGATCTGCAATTGTCTCTCCAAAGAATGGAGAGATGAAGCACAGCAAAAAAAATTATGGATCATTTAAAAATAAAGGAGAAATACCTAAAATCACAGCTTTTTCTGTACTAATGTCCAGACATCTACCAGCATCAATAGCCATAAATTATACTAGATGAAGTCCTAAGATTCATCACTTCAGGACGTAAGTGCTAATGTATTTCATGATGTAATGGGTGGCATTGTGCCTTCTCTATGTCATGGAAAGGAAAAAAAAAAAAAAAAAAAAGGCTTCTTCATGATTCTTCATGATTCTCCTGTGTTTGGCAATGAAATATAAATTCAGAAAGATCAGTTATTTCAAAGCACACGGGCTGGATATGGCTTCCTGCAGAGCACGTGCTATTTGGCCAAGACGACTATATCTTTGCTAGATGCTTGACTCAATGTGGTTGGCATTGCGTAGGTCTGTTCCACGCAAGAAGATCCTCACAACAAACCTGTAAGGGCTTTGCTATGCCTTGCTCTGCCCTTGCTGAGCTGCATCTGGTACATATCCCATGGCTATTTGTCAAACATTTTATGTTTTACTACCTGCCAACTGTGCGAAGAGTAGAAAAAGACGTCCTTCTGAAGAAATTTAGTGCAGCCTAATCATCACTCCTGAGTTAATCCTGTTTAAAGTGAAAACTGGAAAAAAAAACAAAACAAAACTCTACGCTGTATATAGTCATATAAACTCAAATTTACTACAGGTGAATTTAACGTGCTGCTCTGCAAAAAAACAATCTGCATCTCTCTCATAAGTAAAATCACCACCTGCAGACAGTTTAGATGACAAACCAAAAGCACAACAAAATTTAAACTCATATATAGAAGTCTGGATTTACTATCTATTTCAATAGAAAACCAAAAGTAACAACACAGAAGAGACAGATAGAATTATGAGTTCCTTTATCAAGAATATCTGAAAATTTTAGCCTTTCCAACCATGCAGACTATTTTTAAAATGACACATTAAAAATACTAATGAGAAATACACTTTGCATTATTAAAAGGCACAAAACTATTTTGAGACAGTTAATGGAGTCCACGAGATTTTAATGAAAGAATATCACCTGTCCAAAAAAGCCAGCAATAGCTAAGTGATAAAAGAAAGTTTTTCTCGCTTTTGAAAGAACACTACCATAGTAAAACCTTCCTTTTTTTAGAAATCGTGAATATGCTTCTAAGCGGATTTATGAGTAAGGAAAAGAAAATTTTTTACCACCATGGGAAGAATATTCTATTCTAATCTCTTCCAATTTGGATGGCAGAATCAGACATCTTTTTATGGAGCTAAATATGCTGGCCTCAAAGTCCAGATTCATAGTGGCTTTTCTGCAGCTTGCTTAAATAATGAGTTTTCAAGATACTGAAAAATACCTTATTTAGTTGCCTGTAAGCATATCACATTTTATCATGAGTCTTGCGTGTGCGTTAAGTATGCATAGTAGACACATGACTATATACTTCTTGTGTAGCGCAAACAGATACTTGGTGTGCTAACGCCAAGAAGCAATAAAATATAGCATGGAACGCATCCAGTCAGGCACCATAAGCTGCAGACATCTGCTATTAACAGTGATTGTTTGGGACTCCAGTACTTTACACTGAAATCTTTGCTTGGCTGATAAAAGTGTGAAAATTATTTGTTTGTTTTAAAAGTCTATTTCTTTTCAAAAATGCATATTTATTTTAATTTTACAACAAAAGTTGTAGCATTGTCTATTTCCCCAACAACCTGAGTGCATTATATCTACATATGATTTTTAATGGTCCTTGTCCTCTTAATTGCTATCAAACTAACAGCCTGTGCAATAACGTCTATAATCTTCTTCTTCTTCTACATGAGACATGCAATATATTAAAGAAATGTGTAGACTGATAGCCAGTCTTTTGAACCCAAGATACAGCTGCAGATAATTAAACTCTCCTTTAATGCATGTGATTCAAGCTAATGCTGGTGAATCCTGAAGCATAACCAGGATATGTTAATACCAGCATCTTAAACTTTGACTTTTCATTAAACAAATATGCATTGAACAGATGAACAGCTAGGAAATCAATGACACAAAACATGTATTTTATATTGGAACTGCAATGGATTTTCTTTTTTATTTCATAAAGTATTTATTACTTCAAGAGAGGCTTCATCTCAAACATAAAGGGGGCATTCTAAGTGGCACAAAGCTCTGGCAAAATGAATTTCAAGTGTATAAAACTTTCCTTTTGTAACCCCATCAGAACTTGAGCTGGAAAAAGGAAATTAAAAAAAGAGCTGTTTTAAACTATACTATGTTGTCCATTGTGCTTTGGGAATAATTTGGGAAACTGCAATACATGCCAAGTTGCAGTAATATGGAAAAGAAAAATTTAGGGCTTCTCCAGGGACAGCATGCAATGCCTGGTTTGCAAATTTAAGGGAACAACATTGACAATAAAGAAATATATA